ATTTTCTCGCTTTAATGATCTTGAGAGCCTGGTACGTGGGGTCTCCATTGGCCCTTCGAGGGCGTTTTCTGAACTGATAAGCATTTACAATTCCATAATAGAATACGGCTACTGAACTCACCGAGTATGCCATGACTCTGAACAATAACGGATTCAGTGTCAACATAGACCCGTTCGACGAGCCATTGGATCACCTGCATATAACGCCTCCCAAGGAAATAGCAGGGGAAGGAGCCGCTGTCCCGGCGATGGGGTCCATGGGGAGCGATCCCGAAACGTACCTCACCAACAAGCCCGAAACGTCACTGTCCTTTCTAGTTCACCAGCCATGGATACCAGGACAGTCAATATGACCGTAATGTAGCAGTATTTCTAAGTCCATGAGACAGTACGTCGAAATAGACCCTAGCCATTCCAAGTAAAACACTCTCACACGCCGGGCAACTTCAAGCCGCCGTACCTCAAGCAAAAACAACGCTATTCCTCAGAGTCCCACTCCTCGAAATATAGACCCAAACTGGATCCTTATTCTCGGAGCAATTGAATCCAAGAGCTCCTATCATCGATTGTAATCAAAGAGATACAGGTACACGCTCTACCCAGAATCCGCATGACCCTGATACGTATACCGTGAGTCGGAAGTTGGGCAGATCCAAGTCATATATTTGGCAAGGTACATTCACGCCATTTGATATACTTTCCTCGTATCTTGGTTCAATACTCACGAGCAATTGCTAGGCGCCGCAATGGCAGTGAAAGACGGTGTAGCTTTGACGCAGGCTTTGTCAAGGATTGGCTCGCGCTTGAGAACCTAGAAGCACTCTCCACCCACCTTCGAGGCTGTGCGGGCTGGTCAGATGCAAGAAGCCAGCCGGGAAAACTATGGTACTTCACAGATGGCCCAATGCGGGAGGCACGAGACGCAGCTACGCTACCAGAGACCCTAGGGGTGTCGTTCCCTCATAGCCCCAACCGTGGAGCGATCCAGCAACACAGATGTGTGTTATGGATATGACTCTGAGAAGGAGATAGACAAGGCATTCGAGCGGAGAAAGTCTATGACTGAGAAAAGTCATCTCTAGGCAAGTGTTTGACTGTGCGGGTCTATGGGTGAATCATAACGCGGACAATTGGAAAATTCAAGACTGCAAAATCAAATTGCAATCAAGTAGGTATTCTCAGTTCGAGGACAATTCAAATCTGGGCTCTCTCCACCCGCCTTCCAATCTCGTCAAAGTGTATCTGCTTGCCTGTAACCAGAGCCTCTTGGAGGTATGCACCAATCTCAACAGCCTTGACTGCGTTGCTCAGCTTCATCGGGAGTGGCGTGTTATCCAAGCATGCGGCGGTAAATTCATTGGCTTCTGTCACAAACGCAGGTCCAAAGCGACCTATGAAATTAGAGGGAGCCTCACGAGTAATACCTCCCGAATGGTAGAAGTTCACCAAGTTTCGCTGTGGGTTGCAGTTCACAGACAACTTGCCCTCGGTGCCGATGACTTCTGTGGTGTCTTCTTGGCCATGCGCCATCATGCGTGAGCAGTAGTAGTATGCAATCTTGCCGTTGTGGAATTCGACAATGCCAACAGCATTGTCATAGTCGTTGAACTTCTTCAGCTCCGGCTGAACAGCGGTTATGCCATATGCAGAGATAGTCTTGGGAACCACGTCATCACCGAAGAACCAGAGAGTAAGATCGATGTCGTGTACGGACATGTCCACGAAGACACCTCCCGACCACGCAGAGTACGCGACATAAAATCCCGAAGGATCATGCTTATCGCAGGTCTGGCTCCGAAGAACTGAAGGTCTTCCGATGAGCCCTTGGCTGATCTTGTCGTATACGTCACGGTAGGACTCGTCAAATCGTCGAGAGAAGCCGCACATGACCTTAAGATGTGGCTTGGTTCTCGCCTTGTTTACGACAGACTTGCACTAATAGTCCAGTTTGCAGTTAGTATATGGTAGCATGTCCAGGTTTCCGCCACCGATGGGGGATTGTAGCACTGACCACTTCAACATCAATAGATAATGGTTTCTCGCAGAGGACATGCAAGTCGCGGTCGATAGCTTTGATAGTTTCTTCCGCATGGACAGGGGTTGCAGTACCAATAGCCACAGCCATCAGTCCTGGATGCTCAAGCATCTTATCGTAATTGTCATAAAGAGTGACCCCGTACGGCTCAAGATTCTGTCTTCCCCAGGCGATCTCTGCGGGGTCAGGCGAAAATGCAGCAACTAATTCAGCGCGGGGAGTGCGGTGCAAGAAGTTGATCGCATGGAGCTTGCCCACTCGACCTAAGCCAGCCATGCCAACCTTAAGCTTCTGTACTGCCATTCTGGTGGTCTGTCCTCGGAATTGAACAAAGGATTTGAGCGGCAAAGAAAATTCACAAGGTAGCTCCTATATTGTTGATGGAAAAGAAGTCTCCAGAGCAATTGATCAGGGTATTGGGACATCTTTATAGACTGACAACGGCTGAGGACCCCATCGTCTCGATATCATCGCAGACTGGTTGTGAGGGGGTAATTTGAGACCAGGTAAGTATCTCCGGAGGAAGAATGATCTGAAATTAATCATTTTACTGGTCCAAGTCTCTTACGTTGATGATTGACAACGATGAGGTCCTGCATGAAGAGTGAAGGTGGAGTGGAAGACTAAACAATCTGGAGAGAGTTTCCCCTTTGCAGCCGGAGACACTTGCCCATTCGGAAGAATAATTATGGCAAGGTTGGGTCCGGGCCAGGGAGTTCCCACTCTTACGCTAGGCCCAAACCCAACGCATACCTTGGCGCATCTAGGCTGGGCGCGGGAGGGTCCCACAGGCTGGGTCCTTAAGTCTACTGCCTAGGTAGGACTCCGTTTATGAGTTCGGATATGAGCGGACCGGTCTCCCAGCACCTTAGCTATGTATTCCTCCACGTCCGTTCGTCCGCCCCTTGGGAAATCAAAAATTCAAGAACAATTGCATTCGAAGGAGAGTAAATGACATAAAGCACAGTCAACATTATTTGAGTAACTAAACCTTTGCTTCTGCTTTGGTCGATCCAGGCTACGCAGGCGGGATTTGTTTCTGCCCAATCGACCAGGCGGGCACCCCGAATAAATCCGTCCACTGATACTCCGTCACATAGGATACTGCCTGCTGGAAATAAACGCGGATATTGAAATCCCTATCGGCGCCCCAGTTGATGGCAGCAAGCCGGCCCCCAGGGATGCTGGACTGAGGGAATCCGCCGACATACCAACCTGAGTTAGCATCATGGATTTTCTCCAGAATAAGATTGTTAGGACCACCATAGTAGACATGAATGCTGACGTCTTCAGTAGTGGTGACGGCGAGAGCAGTCTGAGGGATGGTGTTGGGGACTGAAAAGCTGCCACGACCCCAGACCGAATTGGCATCGTAGGCCATCTCAATCAGGTTGTTCTGAGGGTCCTGGAAGTATACTCTGGGTGACTTTATCAGCAGACTTGCAAAAGCATGCAGCTAGAATTGGATGATACCAACCTCTAGCCAGGTCAGGTTGCAGGAAGGTTGTTACGGCTATGGCTGTTCCAGGGAGTGCCGCACCCAGGTTCTGGAAAGTTTGCCACTGGTTTGAATTTGCTAGACAGAGAGAACAAGGTCATTTAGGGAACACGTTGCATGCCTTGATAAAGCTTACTATCCCATCCGTATTCTTGGATTGAATTATCGGGCAACTGAGCATAGACTCGGAGAGCTTGGGTTGATGTTCCCGCAAGGTAAACGGCTCCCACGCTGCTGTTGGCTGCGACTTGGATGTTGCTGTAGGTCAACCCACCGCTGTACCAGCCAGAGTTAGCATCGTGGGCTGCTTCCTGCAGGGTGTTGTTGTTGGAGACAGAGTACACGCGAATCTATAAATGACATTAGGTTTTATTGTGCAACTGAATAGCAAGCATCTTACGCTGTCAAGCGCCAGGGATGTAGCAGCGATGGGAGAACCCAGCTTGCAGTATGCAATTAATCTGCCGCTAGACCATCCATTTTCACATATACTCTCGCGAATCCCACCGCTTATATCCTGGGTATACACCCTCAGATGATAGCTGTCGTTGACAGCCCCAATCCCAGTGCCTGCGTCGAAGGTTAGTCTACCTCTTGTAAAGAATATTGAAGGTTGAACTAACCGGAAACGGTGGTCATGTTGGGAATTGAGTGCTAGTTAACTAGCAAAGTTGCCTTAGGAAGGAATGTCGTGAAATGATGGACAGATGAAAGGAAAGATAGATTTGGGGTGACTGCCAGGAACTGCTAAGGCCCTTGTATAGTACAGTGGGTAGTGAGACTCCCTTCTGTTTAGCAGATCACACCACTTAATGATTCAAACCATGAGTAAATCTAATAGTAATATCACAAGCTTCAGAGTTGGGCCCAGCTGAGTCTCACGTCATTTCTACAGGGTGGAATGGCGGCCGGCCTGATTGCCTGCCAGGGCGCAAACACACAATCCAGCTGGCCTCCGGGGCACACGGCGCGATCCGACTTAACGATCAGCAGGGAGCAATCTGAGTCTGTTCAGCCCGGCTGCCCGGGATAACAAGGTTTAGGATTTAGTCAGGTTCCTTAGTGGATAAATCGAGACACTTATTCAATTAAGGTATGAATATATGGACTGGGAATACCGTTGCTCTACTTAATAGTCGCCTCCTAGTCTTTCACCAAGCTTAGTTTGAAACCTCATTTAGAATAGAACGTAGTATCTATAGGGATTCCGTCATTCATTATATCACAMCTTTTTTTATGTGGGGTTCTGTATAGATTTTCGTCCTACTGCCGCTCACTGTAAGGATTAAGTGCCACCACCAGAGGTCCGCATGCAATAAGACTATTCCACCCATTCTTACCATTTATGGTCATGACTTTTTTGATGGACTCTGCGGATGTGTTCCTTCATATTATCACATCTGTTAGACACCTTCTGGCAACCTTCCACCGGACAGCAGTAGGAGTCGTTGCAGATATGGACCGCCTTCAAGTGCCGTAATAAGTCGCTCTCTCGGCCAAAGGTACCGGTATATTCGCACCCTTCCCATCTACACCGCAGTTGGGCAGCATGACTTCCCCGTCTAACACTTAATAACTTAGCTAGAGCAAGTGTGATCGGAAAGATAGACTCTAGCTCACCGTTTTGTAATACATTTGTCATAGGATGAATCCTTTTGCTGTCGTGCATTATCACGCCTTGCAGTCTCGGCAAAAGATCTTGCTTCCGAGGACGTCTTAGTCTCCCTGTGGATATACTGGTCGGATGACTCGCCATTGGTGGTGTACTCGTTGGCTTTGGGGATGGAGCTGACGCCCTGCATAGGCTGCGCTCTCATAACGTCATGGCCATATGCGAGCTGCAGGTCTTTCAAGGTTGGGAACTGGTATGGACTATTATAATATCCATTATCAATGTCGTTTGGAAAGAGACATATGGTGCCAGCAGTATTTCCTGCGGTATTTTCCAGAGCGTATTGAGGTATGTCCATTGCGTTTGCAACTGTATGAGGAACGCAAAGTCCCGGCAGATTAAGAGGGACCGATTCAGGGATGTCATGGACGGTCTCCAACTCCAACTGGGTTGGATAGAAGGAGCACATGTTCCATAAAATAGCTTATTCGGGTTGAAAATGTGAGACTTGAAGACAGTAGATACATCAGCGCAAATTTAGTGCACACTCCAACTTGTTTAAATAGGATCTGTCCTTAAGCAGCTGTGACATATGCGGGAGTCTCTTTGATACTCCTATAGAGCGTGTTACTGAACTTGGACTACTGACTGGAGCTAATCCTGCCATTCAGAGTCCTTTGCGGACTCTGCCGTAGCCTATGATGTAGTACATTTACCTATCCGTGAACAAAGCGCTGCTTGAGAACCATTGGTGCAGGAGAACTCCTATAGTTCTGCCATCTATTGTTCGAATAACGCCAGAACATCATTTACTTTCCTTTCCCGTATTAATTATTCACTGAAAGCAGCAAGCATTGGCAATAGCATTCTTAATTGCATCATTCAAGCCTGCAACTGCGTATAGAAGGCGGACGACCTCGCTGTGTATACCACCCTATATGCCATCTCCGCAGACAGCCACCGTTGAGACGAGTCCAGAAGCTCAATTCGGCTTCAATCATGACAGCTACGTGACGTTTGACAACCAGAGACAGCGTTCGTATGTAATCAGCATCCACTTAGTGCCCCATTACCTCCTTCCCCTCCGAGGAGACATTGAGCGCGGACGGAAGGACACGCTTCGTGCCAAAGCATGGTTGACGTACCGACTAAGAAGATATGGAAGAAGCTTACGGGAAAGCATACCTTGATTTTGTCAACTCACAAGCTTGAGTTGCCGTTCCCAGCTCTGATGCTGGGATGTGCGTGCCAGTTTGGGAACATCGACGAGGAATACAAAGTATTTTATCCACTCCACAGCAAGACATGTCTCACATAGAGGACCCCTGGTGCCACTTCACCAGACAGTACCTTCAGGGAATGAAATAAAGGCCGGGCCTGAGGCCTGGTGGATGAATACAACCAGCGTTCACCGGGATCCACAGTGGCAGGTGTCATCGACGCATCATGCTCGTGCTCTCCAAGCGCATAGACAGCATAAGAATCTTGGTAACTGGCCTGACAGGCTGTCATCTGCTGTGCGGAACTTGGCAGTTCTTCTTATTATGCAAGGAGCTTCGGTGGGCTCCGCAGCTAACCCTATTTGCAATATCCGCCTGTTCTAGGCTCATGCATGGAACATGTATAGACGTTAGCAACCACTGGTATGGACCGCCTATGTTTCCTTCTAGCCTCGAAGGTCGAGCAGATCGGATATATCCGCTCAATGAAAGTGTCATAAGTAGGATGCTCTTTATCAGAAGACGCTTTCCGTTCGGAACGCTCTAAAGCTGACCTTCGTGCCCTAGGACCTGCGCCGTGCGCCGTGCGCCGTGCGCCTGATTTGGTCTGCGTCATGGAAAGCCGTATGGAAATGCAGCGGAGTATAGTCAATTTTCCTGGTATCTTGAGCTGGCTCATAATCAACCGCTCAGCTATACCTAAGCTATAAAGGCATTCAGGTTGGCGTGCTCTGATTGCTTCGACGCGAACGATTCAAGCGAACAGGATATTATTTTTGAGTAATCTTCTACGACCAAAACACAACAAAATGGCCAATTACATTGAAGGTAATTCAAATACTGCCTTCGATACGTTCAGACGCTCACATTTATAAAACCCTCAGGAGCCATTGTGAAACTCAACCAGCCAACAGCTGGTATCTTCGCTGCAACGCAGATTAGCGATGCAGAAGCCGCTGCATCTTCCCTCCAAGTTGCACCAAAACCTGAAGCTCGTATCAACTTTGGGCCGGTCAGCTTTTTTGGAGTCGTCACAGTAAGGCTACAGCCTTTGTTTTCTACTCTGCAGTAGCAAGCGTCTGACTTCTTTTTTGCCAATTAGATCGCCGGCTATGTTGACACTACCACATATGAAGCCTCAGTTTCGGTCTCTGTGATTGGAATCAACATTGGCACTCTGTCTGGAAACCTTCAGGACGGGATTACCCTCAAAGTTAACCTGATTGCTGCCAAGGGCGAACTCCGGTTCTACTTGAAGAATGGTAATGAAGTGTGGTTGCACGTGGATCTGAACATTATTTTCGATGGAGAGTATAATGATGATGTCAAGATAATCAGTCTCTAGACATAAGTTTGGTGTGGAATAGCGAGGGACGGGGGTTCACGGCGTCTAGTCTGTTCTGCATTTGGCAATTACCGGATTTTGGACGGGCCTCGGTATAGGTTTTTCTCCCTGGTCTGTTAGGTTTTCCCTATACTGTGATGCAAATGCAGAGGCGTGTACAGACTTTCTGTAACTGCTAGTATCATATTTGAGGTTATCCCTTGCGTTTATTGGTGCAAACTGTAGCAGGTTTTTTTTATTGGTTCCTGCTTTTTGTACCATGTCGAGCATTTGCCTGCCTGGACGATGTCAAGCTTGTCATAGGCTACGTCTGTTCCATGTAATCACCAATGCTACCCTAAACAAATAACCAGATTAGTCTGTATTAGGTACCACTAGTTCAAGGAAACTCTAACATCAATATTTAGTTTCTATTTCTGGATTATGAACGCCTGAGGATGTATATACGTGGGTTAGTCTCTCCAGCTGGACACACTTAGTATGCATAACATTTGTCACACTCACTAATAAGGTTTCTCTTCAAGAATGTTCCAAAATAGTCTTCCAGTGATTATTTCCTTGGATTTCCTCTAGAAGGGATATTTGTATTTATCAAAATCTGGTATCACTAGCCTAAAGGTGTCCCAGCAATGTACTCAGTCTAGGGTTACATCGCCATACGAATAGTTGCTCATGAAGCATCTTCTACATGAACTTTCCACCTCGCGCCTCTATATAGATAATTGTAATTCCGAATCAACCAAGGCCTGTGCTCTAATGTGCAGGAAACGGAATGATGAGCCAAAGCCCGAAAGAGGTATCCACGGCTACAGCCCCCTGTCATGCAGTAACGGCATTCCACGAGGCTATGACATCGCGCACAAGTGGGTCTTACATCTACGGATGACCCGCAGTGCCATGGTTCCGGCCCGCTTAGGGCCCGGCGGGTCAGCCGATCCCTAAACAATTCCAAATTCCGCATAGTTAAGTATCGTATCATTACATCAACTGCTCCATCCGGGAAGGACGCAGCATAGTAAGCACCCCAAATGGCTTGGGTCTTTTAAAGTTCGTCGGGGAACGCGGGGGCCTTGGATTTGCTTATAGCAATATTTTGCTTTCTTTGTTCTGCGTACCAGCAAATGTTGTAGATCCCTCCTAATTGACTTTCTATGAGGCATGTAATCGAGCGGGCAAGACCGGATGTCTAGACGATTCTTCTAACTTAGCCTAGGGGTGAAATGTACTCTGTATAATCATTCCAAATTAGCGGGATAAACCATGGAAGCTATCACATTCTAATTGGTCCAGTCCAACTTCAGAGTTCACGAATTGTTATTGCAAACAGCAGGAGATGCTTGACAGTAAAGATTATTGCAAGTCATGTTTGAGTGCGTCCACTCGAGAGGCTGCTAGTAAGGGCAATGTCTCCATGACGTCCGGAAGTGGCTTGAAAAGCCAACGCGCTGACATGCTATATCAAGCTGAGCTTTGTTTGTGAACCTTGAGCCAACTATATATAGCCACTTCAGAAGATGCATTCTAGCCGTCACTTACGATTCCTGCAAACTAACTGACCATGATTACTGTATTCATGCCAAAATGCTTTCTCTAAGTGTATTCTATAATATTCTGTTCCTCTCTCTGGGCTGGACAATACCGGCCGCAGATAGTCATCTTCAACTAAAATAAGATCACAACTTTCTAACATTAACAATTTACCCAGATGTTTCTCCTGGAGTTTTAACCAATTCACGCTATTCTCTGAATATCATCCCGCTACTTATGCAGCAATCTTTAACTTGCAATTGTACCGAGGCCCAAGGTAGTGTGGTCCAGGTGTATGTCCAGTTCTGGAGCAGACAGACTGGAATTATGATCATCAATCAGGCATGACTCAGATACTAGCATTAAATAAACGCGACCGGGTAATATCACTGGCTTTCTGGCAGTTGACCAGACAAATGAATTGATGGTTCTGTCATTGCGACGTACCCAGGCCTTCTCTACTACTCCTAGGGCCAACGGGACTTGGCAGTATAGCACAACGCCGCCAGAACACTGGATTACTTCAGAAAATGGCAGGCCAGTTACAAGCTCTAAGAAAGTGATGGTGGGCATTGAGAATAAGAGTGGGAACCTTGGTACACAAACGGACCAGATGGCAAGCCTCATAATTGGTATATCCGCAACATAAACTGGGTGCTCAACCAATGAGCCTGTGCAGTTGAACGGAAACTGGGGATGAACCTCTATGTTTCTAATGTTGCGCATTTTAGGAGTTTTGATTCGAACCGCTAAATAATTTAGTATCTTGGATTAATCAGTCCTGGAATGGCTTTTGGCTCAAGATGTTAATCCTTGATAATTGTACTCATGTCTAATCAATTTGAATTTGCATAAACTGAGGCGATGTATATTCTCCTGTAGGGATATTTTAATTAACAGAGCAGGAAAGGCAATCTCCTATGCTAATCATAGAAATCAAGTAGTCTATTGATTGATTGCTTCTCGTTACGTCGCTATTCTATCCACCTATTTAGTTCTCCCTAACGCGCATATATATATATATATATATATATATGTATCTCCCTTTTCAGGCTATTTTGGTTTGCGTTTTCTAGCATACCATCTGAAGCGCGTACCCGGCGCTTGACTCGTCCAACTCCTCCGTACATAATTCTCCTATACAGCAAAAGACCACGTCAAACTTTGGAGAGCAGCTTTTCCGCATAAAATCCTCTCGCGACAGCAGCCAGACAAGTACAGGCGACCATCGACAAGCCCGCAAACAACGCTGCCGCCTCATACCCATAGCTTCGAATAAGCGCCCCCGCAATGGGCGTTCCCGTCAGCCCAGCGACGGAGACAATCGCGCTCGCCTGACCCATGTACGTTCCGATCGCCTGTGGTCGAGGCGCAAGCTGCGCTATGGACACCGGGTACAGGGAGATGACCGCGCCGGAGACAAAGCCAAAAACCGCCGCCCAGGCAATGAGGCCAGCAGCTGTGGTGATGCGGATCCAGGCGAGGAGCAAGACGCTGTTGGCGGCATATATACACACGAGCATATTTAGCCGTCCGAGCCGATCAGCCAGGAATCCCGGGATAATTCTCCCGAACAGCGAACCGGCGTTGACGATCGACAGCGTGTAGAAGGCCAGATCCCCGCCCATCTGTATCTTCTGGATTGCGAACGAGACAACGAAGAAATATGGCACCCATATCCCCCAGAAACTGAGAAAGACGGCGGCCACCAGGAACGTGTACGATGGTTGCAGGAATGAGCGGGGAAGGAATAGCTGGCCCTTGCGTGGTGGCAGCCTCTCTCTGACTAGGGCGCACGCGATGGATAGCAGGCCCAGAACCACGAAACCGACCACGCGGACTCCCCAGCCGAACCCTAACCGCTGGCTATAGAGAGCATGTTTCAAGGCAATGGGGAACAGGAGACCACCCAAGGAGGAACCGGCGGCACAGATGCCCATGGCTAGTCCCCGTTTCTTCTGGAAATAGTGGCCGATGGCCGCCAAGGATGGCGTGAAGATGAAGCCGGTACTTAAGCCGCCGAGGATCCCCTGGGCGAGAACGACTTGATAATAGTGTCGGCACAGGCTGGTCATCATGATAGAGAAGACGAAAGAGATCGATCCTGGAATCAACAATATCTATATGTGTCTGTTAGTCTAGTTCGTCTCTCAGTGATTAGGATGAGCTCACCTTTGCCCCGTGCAGATCAAACAGACTTCCTGAGACGAGACTGGTCACGAACTGGAGGAAGATCTGGGTCGAGCCAATCCATGCAATCTCGGAAGCCGTCTTCTGAGCCAACTGGTGCTCACTGTAGTATGTCTCATAGACGCTGAACCGGTCTGTTAGTTCTTCCACCCAAAGCCTCTGAACTTGGACGCGACGTACCCAAAAGCAGATAGATATCCAAAGGCACAACCTAAAGAAATGCTTGCGCCGAACACAACGGACCATGCTCTTACTCCTCCTTCTGGGAACGAAGGCTTTACCGATGGACTTGTGTTTACCTCCGACTTCGGTTGAGCAGCAACCGTGGCATTTGGAGGCGATAGATATGCTTGGTTGGCCATCTGGGCAATGCACGTAAATAATTTTCAGTGACCTATATCCAAATACACGAGGGAACAGTTGCTGTTTGAAAGCGAGATTGTAGACGAGACGTACTCAGAGGCTGGATGGCTAACAATTATATACGTTCCACGACTTCACCGTATCTATCGGCCGATCCAATCCGACCTCATCTCCGTTGATTAGAGGAGAACTGGTAATTTCCCCTTTTCCGCTCTATATTGCAGAAAGTATGTGGATGAGTGCGTCTTCGTATCGAGGTCGGAGTTAAGCCTCGGGATGATCGGCCGATCAGAATCTCCATTTGATTCGCTGAGCGGATGTAATCATCAAGGTCTTTCGCCCCTCTTGCTACTCTTTTTTACGAACATAATTCTCATCAATGACTCTGATTTCTCATCAAATTAACAGAATGGCGGGTGGTAGCTCGACCACTCGACGTGAGGTTCGCGCTTGTGAACGATGTCGGACGTTGAAAGTCGGCTGTGACAAGGCGAAACCAGCATGCCGCAGGTGCGTCAAGGCCGGTGTACGCTGCGTGGTACGCCACATTGAAAGCAACGGGATCGATAGAGCATCTACAAATGGTGACACGAGTATTCGAGCGGAGGCTCTGGATGATTCTCTGCGGAACAGAGATGAGGTCCGTCTGACCCGATGTCTTCTGCTGCCGTCCACTCACGCAGCGGTACAGATCACTAGCAGCTCCGTATCCAACAGAAATGGGTTCTTCCATTCCCCACTGAGCTATCTGGAATTAACACCTCAGAAGCGGAATCGTAAACCAGTGTCTTGTATCCGTTGTCGCCGATTGAAAGTCCGATGTGATCGACAGCAGCCGTGTCACAGGTGCATAAAGGCAAAAGCAGTCTGTGCATATGGACAGCCACTTGAGATTAACCATGATTCTGGCAGAGAATCTTCTGCGGACAACTCGAGCGCTACCGCTCGCTGTGCTGCATGGAGCGGCCGGTTCCGGACTGGCACTCACTGGATAAACTTAGTCAGGGAGGTATGTACGGCCATTAGCTCTAAGTGGGATCAAGTGAACCTTGCTGACGGTTTACGAGGTTGAAAACTCTCTATCAGCACATGGTTCTGGACTTGCTCCTCACGGCCATGCAAGTCATTCCAGTAGACCTGATATACTGTCAGATCTTCCATGGGGACTGAAGAAGGTGGAATCGAGAAGTGCATTGCTAGAGCGCATGCCGACTCGAGTGGTTGGAGAAAAGTTGATTTCCATGTATATCGACGTTGTTGAGAAGACGCACCATTTTCTGGACCTTCCAGGATTCCAGCAACAATTACTGCACTTCTGGGACCACCCTACGGAAGCCGAAGATAGCTGGCTCGCCTTGCTTTTTGTCATTTTCTTCCTCGGCCAAGAAGCTCATCGCACCGTCGCTTGTGGCTCGACTGACTTACTCCTAGGCGTATCTCGGACTGAGTTCTTAGAAGCATCTCAGGGTTTTCTCCATCGCACCTCGTTCGTTGCACACCCGAATCTCGATATCATTCGCACTCTATGTCTCATGGTCATTGCGAAGCAGATGGTGCAAATGTCTTGCTCCGCGATGGATACTTCGTGGTGCCTAACGGGATTGATCTTGCGCATTGCCATGAACATGGGACTGCACTCGGCACGAGTGGATGACCCCCGGTTGGAAAAGGGAGAGCAACAGACACTTAGCATTCTCTGGACGTCGATCATGTACCTCAACCTGCGTCAGGCGGTCCTGACGGGAATGCCAATCCTGCTCCAACCACGAGATTATACTTGCGCACCCTCTCCCAACATCAACGGCTGTTCTAACCAGGCTCTTGCACTATCGAATAGGGAGGAGACGGAGACCTTCCATGTCCTCTTCGAACGCGCCGTCCCCATCGCATCTGGATTAATGGACCTTAGCCACGACCCGGCTCGAGCAGAAACCTATGAGGCTATTATGCACTACACAGTGGAGACCAGACGCTTACTGCTCCATGCATCAGAAGCACTACGAATATCCCACCCGACGACCAGCGAGGCCCGGAAAGCCATCATGCTCGACATTCTATTCCGGCGGCTCCTCCTGTCCGTTCACCGTCCCTTTGCCCACGATGAACGTGCTCCACTCCGCTATCCTCTCTCGTACTGGACATCCCTGGACTGCGCCCTCGCAATTCTCGTCCACCAAAGGGACCTCTGGGGAGCTCCCCCGGACGACTCCTTGGTGAGCCGATCTTTCGCCCGCCTCTTCTGGCCCGACTTCCTCGTTGCAGCCCTCACGTTATCACTTTACCTGCTTCGAGCGGACTCGCCGCTTGATCCACCGCCGAGCAGCCGGTATGGTGGCATGCCTGCGCGGGCCACGCTGCAAGATGCGCTACGCTCGTGCAGGGATATCTGGCAATTAGAGGAAGACAGGAATATCTGTCATTCGCACGCATTTATATTGATTGATCGTGTTGTGTCGGCTTTGGAGGAAACTGGGCGCGATGGCGTACCGGCCTTGCACTGCGCTGATGTCCAAAGTGCCATTGATGCAGTTGTCGCTGGGGTCCAATGGGACGATATGCTGGTCAAAGTCGATGTGTGAAGCCATTGGTAAGTTATGTTCGTCATCTAGATTGGTTAGAGCCTAGCTCTACACGCATGTCGTGATATCACGGCTGATTACAACGCTAGGTCAGATATTGTATGACTCTGCCTCACGGGAGTGACCTCCGTACATGTGCAGCTTTCCTAGCGTTAGAGTTTAATCTTGCAGAAGGAATGCTTGATAGTATCTTACCTTGGAGTAGAAAGAAGTTTAGTCGGCTTGGCTTATGGCTTCTTCTATTAGGATTGAATGAGTCGCACCAGCCATTACAGAATAGGTGGAACAGGGAGAAATGATGTCGGTCCAATAGATGAGCCCTTGCGATGCAGCTAACCAGCTACTGCATCGATTTCTCTTCATCACAAACCCAGCCATTCAAAACTTGCATAGCCGTATTCGCCAAATTGCCCCTCGTTAGCCATCCACTGAGACCTTGAGCCAAGCATCGGCGAAATTAGGACTCTCCACTCCTATGCCTTCGCATTTTCTTGGCTCACATCAGCTGGCCCTCGAGTCACTGTCAGTACGGGTATTACCTGCAGGAGGGTTGTATTGCAGCAGACGATGGCATGGTTCATGCAGCCGGCAAACATCAGAATCAATAGGCGTTGGTGGAACTTTGGGACTAGTGTGTCTTTGACTACGAGTTGTGAATAGGGCTGGCTGAGATGAGATTTTAGTTTTTCAGAGCAGTCATGATCAGGAGATTGCATTTATACAGTCTCGGAAAGGTATAAATTCACCAATAGTACTCCTGAGCACTGGCGCTTCTCTTTTTGCAATTTATACTTGCTTCAGTTCTAGTCTACCTGGCACAAAATGCTGTTTAGTGCAACCTTTCTCCTCCTTGGCCTAGCTCTCGGAAAACCAGGTATGTTCCTCCTCATTTCATGACTGCGTCATTAATGAGACCTTTGCAGTTATACCAAGAGATGATACAAGCCCAACGTCCACACCCGCAGTTCCCACAACCAGCGCACCTCCATCCGATCAGACTGACGCATGTGCCACCTCGTCTACGAGTAGCCAGTGGCTAAGCACATGTAACACCACGGTGTTCTGGCCAACCTCAACAGACTATTTCTACGGCCCAACCACCGGGCCTGGGGCATCTGCGGTCACTTGCAATGCCCAATGGGTAGAATACAATGGTAGAGCAAAGGAGCTTGCCTCACTCGGCGCAACTTCCACTTCGACCTCTTACTGGATTGCTCCCACCAGCACTGGGGCGTGTAACACAGATGTCAGGCCGGAGGGTCCGGGAGATCCCCATACTGGTCCCGTCACCACGCTCTGCGATGCAATCACCCGGGCTCTTGGCCCTCTAGAGTACCTCACTGACTACTGGCCCGGCACAGGCCCTTGCAGCACATCAATGTTGACTCAGTCCGATACCACTCTGCTCTACCGGTCGCCCTCCTCTATTCCAACCTGTGAGCTGAACACGCAGGATTGCATTCCCATTTGGCAGACCTACAGCAGTCGTCTCGCCGCCTACTATGAGTCGGTGACAACGGAAATCCCTGGAGACACGAGGAGCCCTATCCGACCAACACAATGCCCTTCGACGAAGAGAAACTACACGGAGCAGGACCCCTGCACCAACTGCCATTACCTCCCGGACACCGCAACCCTCTTCTACTGGCCGGTGACAACCACCGGCGGCGATCTCTGTCTCCAAAATGGAACCACCGTCCCTGCTACTCCCACCGGGAACGGCCCCAACACTGCAATTGTGGACGGCCATACCTTCATCTCCCCGAGTATCTACGTATCATTTACCAGCATCTACGCGCGGAGCAACAAGCGTTCCCACCCAGGTGGCTCCTGCGGCGGTGACCACGAGAACGTGATTATCTCAGTCAACCCAGAAGCTGTGACATCCTACCGTAACCACATCAATGCGAAATATCCAAGAATCGGCACAGCCTACCCGTTCAACTTTGCTGAGTTCCTGCCGCATACTGTGGGCAATTATACCCTGCCGCTGATCCCATGGGATCAGTACCGCGGTGGATCCCAGTGTATCAAGGGCGGAAGTGTCTGCTCCATGATCCGCAACGATTACCTCCCCTGGATGGAGATCCCGGACGTTATGACGCAGATTGATCCGCGGTGGACAGAATGCCACCGGTCGTGGTACATTCCGCCGGTCAGCTTGGTTCCCCTGATCGGTGGGCTTCCGCCGCAACCTACCGGAGTGGTTGAGGCAAGTATTGCTCGAGTTGCATCTGAAACTGCGGTTCCTCAGTCAGGGCTGGCTGCTCCCACTCCGGAAGCCACTAGCAATGGCGGTGGCCGGTGAGAAGTCATGCAATGTGTATGCAGACTGCAGTAGGCTGTGGCTACGGCAAGGCTATAGTTGAATCAATACAGAGGTTCCACAATGTTCGGAGAAGGTCTTTGATTAATTGACAGAACCTGCTTGATTTCTGATTCTTCGGCTCATAATCTGCTTATATTAATAATAATTCCACGCTTCGGAGCCAAATGACCATTGTTCCTCTGCCCAATGGCGATGACAAATGGCAATACCTCTAGAAATCTAACCTTACTAGGCCAAAAAGGCGTTCGGACAATATCCTTGTCAGTCCAGGGTCTTATTTCCATAATATAGTCACCTGAAGCGTAGGATATGCGCTATTGTTACATTTCCAATCCCAATGCACAAATGGAGGTGAATGACCGGCAGAGGAAGACTTTCTACAGGTTGGATATCAGTTGTGTCATGTACGGGCTTTCTTACTTTCTCTTCTATATTGTGATCATGAATTAAAGGAACAGCTATGAGTATATAGTATCTTGGATCTCTCTTGACAGACATGTTAGTTATAGACTGAAAGGTCTCGGCTTAATCATATGGTGATCTAGGTGCATAGTGGCAGACACAAGGCCTTAGGAGATTGGCCATGGACTTGAGGCACGGAGGAAACGTGCACTTAGATCTTGACCTCTGCTTCACCAGAGTCAACACAGCAACTTTGTATTTCCACAACCTAACATTATAATGATCCATCCTAGGAGAGGGCGCAATCTGTCCAGTGAAGCCTCAATTTCCCTGATAAAGGGCCCTGAATTCGTCGTGAATACTCTTTTTGAAATCCTCAATCGTCTTCTTGGGCTTCCAGCCAAACAGCTCACGAGCTCGGTCCGACTTGGTGCGAGCACTGCATATCCATGTTAGCATGTATTTCGGGATAGGGGCAAAGAAGAATGATAGGATTCTCACTTGGATGCAAAAGCCAATTCCACCACCGCCTCGTTGAACCCAATCGCCTCTGCCCCCGCTTGCAACGTGAGACTTCTCACCTCATCCGTCTCAAAGACACCAAGAGCCCTTCCCTCCTTTCCGATCTCTCTAGAGATATCGAGGAATGTGGTCTCTCCCGCCTCGGAGCAGTAGATGCCCTTCTTGTTCGCCGGGATTTCTGTTGTTTTTGAAACGACTACCTTCTCCAGAATAAGGAGATACAGGTCCACCAAATCTTCAATATGGACGTGGCCCCAAATCCCGTCGCCCGTGCCCACCACAATAGCCTGCTTGTGAGCAAGCGACTTCCTGATGAGAAGCGGAATTTGGAATGAGAACTTGTTAAAGGTCCCTAATCCAGTGCCATAAATGATGGGATTGAATACGACATAGGCTTTCACGTTGAGAGCATCCGCGGTGTTGATGATAGTCAGCTCGGTCGTACGCTGCGGGTACGGCACCCGCGACTCTCGCCCTTCCTCGTACGCGTAAATGTCATCCTTGTCACTGAAGATTCGTGTCTCGGTGAATCTACCGCTAAGAGGCAAGTCCGCGATGTTGGTTATGCCGGATGTCTACCCAGTCAGCTCATATATCACTCATATCAGACAAAGGGAATCGAAGAACTCACATGGATTATATATGTATCCTTCCCGGTTGCCTTCTTTCTCTCTGCTAACCCTTCGACTAGTGCTTTTCCAAACGCGGGATTGAATCCAAACCCAGCGTTGATGACGACTTGCCGGAACAGAATGAGCATCCACGGTCACGATATCGCCATTACTCCAGAAGAAAAGACTCACTGTCATTTCCGCGCGCTGCCTCCCGGATTGTCTCTAAATTGTTGTAATCCGGGACTACGATGGGCTGAACGCCCAGTTGCTTGAGTGCATCGGCTTTATCCTCTCCCTTGACCAGTGCCGATATTTTGAGGTTGCGAAAGGCGTCATTCTTCGACTGGAGAAGACCGGTAAGGATCGACCCTCCACTGGATCGATAACATTGTATGCGTTAGTGGCACATTTCGTATCGAGCACAGACATGTTCATAGACAGAATAATGCTAAGGATGGTAGGTCGGGCACTTACATATATCCCGTAGCACCAGCAAGGAGCACTCGATATTCGGCCATTGTTTGTACTTGTATTTAGCGAAGTAGTTGACAGTTTTGTAGACCAATTGTTGACACAGGACATCTTGCTACATGTTCCTAGGACTTTATATACATACATCTGGCTACCTTCATCCTTCCCCCACGCAGATCACTAATCACTGTGTCAAAGCACCGGGCTAATCTAATCGCCATCAAGGGAGAAGCCCAACAGGTCATTATTTATTAACACATACAAATGTAGCTATGATTACAAAAGCGTCCTAATGTACTTTGTTCTTTTTGGCTAGAGTGCTCCATGCTGCGATCTTGTATGATTATTAATCATTCCATCTGAAGGTGAGATTAGTGAACAGCCCGAGATGTTGACTGAAGAACACGACAGCCCGAGAGACCAAGCATAGTTACGCTTTTAAGGTCTATTTGCCCTCCTCCATTTCAACGCCTGTGAGAGAACCTCCCTACTACACCTTATATTCCAGATTAGTCTGCTTCCTTCTAGCAGGGTACAAATAACCTCACACTAAACCGAGAAACTAGACTGGGAAAGCTATGCAAAAGCCTCAAGCAAGAGCCGATCATATCGTTCTTTGTCTTTTACTATTTTCCGGATGAAGTCAGCTGTGTTGACTGTCCAGAACTCAATAGTGATTCAGAAAAAATGCATCTTGGCGACAATCACTGGGTTCGGGCTTTCGAGGCAATTCGGGACGGCTTTACTACAGAAAACCCGCGCAAACCATTCGCCCTTAGGAAGGGGTTTAACGACGATTTCAACAGTCTTCTTTGCGCCGTGACGAATTTTGACCCGGAAAGGAGAACCACGGCCCGCGAGGCATTGGCTCACAAAGGTTTGAAGGCGTTTGAGATGAGCAGAGAATTGGCCTCGTAAAATCAATTCTCTCAGGCAATCCTCTTCAACATGTAACATTGATCCTGCCTGGATCCCTGGCTGAATGTACAGCTACCGCAGTATTAATCAGGTCTCCTGAGACAGGCTAAGAATGTATTAAACCTTGGCAAGAAAAAGGTCACGAACCAACAGGCAACCTCTTCACAATGGCGTCTCTCAGCGCATCAACATCGTCCACCATTTCAACTCCGTATTTCTCGCACACAATCTGCACATTCCCCCTCTTCCAGTATCCCTCGGGACAGGCTACGATAGCCTTTCCGGGAACCCGCGCACAGATTCCCAGCTCTAGCAAACTGACCGGCGCCTGGGTAGCCGGGTGGAAGTAAATAACCACAATGTCGGCCTTGTCCTGTTTCTCGAGCTCCCACTCCACCTGCTCGCGGTAAGGAGAGAAATTGATGTCCTCAGTCCACGAGCTGTCCCAATCAGGGCGATAAGGATTGTATATCGTAACAGGAAGGTCGGAGAGGGAAGTGGATAGGGTCTCGCGCCAGTCGCTCGGGTCGACTTTGTTGGTGGTGCCAGCGAGGAAGATGAACTTTACACCGCGGGGAGCCTCCTCTGAAGGTGCGTAGATGACTTGGTTTCTTGTTTGAGCCATTCAGAAGAACGAAATGTTCCTGATCCTCAGATCCCCAAATTTCTGAAAACAAATCTGATGGGATACCTTCTCTTTTCCTACTTGTTGGTGTATTGGATGTACCGGTGGAGAACAGTTTATTGCGGGGAAGTTGTGGCCGTGGTGCGGGGTAGAAGAATGCAGACGGACAGGGACTTACAGGGCAACTCTCTCCGTCTCCCCACTCGCTTCCTTCACCACGAATGACAAAGTGCAAGGCTATGGCTACCTCGAAGAAAAGACGTCGACTGATTGCTGGCTGGTACGTCCATTGAAGTTATTTTATTTGTGCAATTACGGATGACTCGCTGACCACTTCCTTCAGTCTCAGATGTAGATGTGAGTGTTCATTAATTCATGCAAACTAAAGAGAAAATAAACTAGCCTGGGTATTGTATATTCGACGTGCTGACTGGATCGTCGACAGCTCGTCATCTAAGATGTATGTACGCCTGGTATTAGAAGAAGGACTGGGCTCATATATCTAGCTTAACAGGCGACACAAAAACACCAGCCTGCGACAACTGCAGAAATGCCGGTGAAGATTGCGAGCGATGTCTTAACATTCGCTTTCGGAATGGCCTCGACTTCGTCAAGGACCAAGATGTGACCTTCTCTAAAAAGGCTTCTTGGCCATCTTTGACCGGACCCAGTAAGTCGACCTCGTTATTCTTTCAGCGGAGTTCTGACTTCGATGGCCGAAAGTCCGATTCTACGATGAGACGCGCGAGATTGAAAGTATTTACGTAGAAGGCAATTCATCACCACCTTCTCAAGAGAGACATGATACAGAATACTCAAACAGCAGCCACCGCAGTCCAGCAGTGGCAGATGCCCACTGCCAAGGATATCAGATATTTCTCGAACAGGAGGCATCTGTGACACAACAGAGTTCTACCCCTGCCAACAGACAACCTTATGGTGCGTCTCTTTACGACTGGCGGATCTTGCTCCAATAGTTTCATGGTGCTGACCGTGACTAAAGCAGCTCTGAATATAGGAAGTCCCATCACTCATCATGGATCTCCGGATGCCGAATGTACAACAGAGCTGCGTCGCACCTCGGATAGTTTGAGTGGTTCTTCGAGCTCACAAACACATTATACTTCTCTTAGTGCCAGGGAGGCTCTCCTCTTCCGCAATTTCGTGGATAATATGGCGATGTGGGTCAGTCTTCCTAGCGATATTCCCTTCTTTCTGGGCCCTCTATTCATATGAGAGATGCTCACACACTCATAGACCGACATCACGGACCCTCAAAGGCATTTTGAGATGGTGGCCCCGGCCCGGGCTCTCCGCGAGCCAGTATTACGCGCGGCAATCCTTGCCTTTTCGTCCCGGCATATCAACAGGCAAAGGCCGGAGGGCGACACAGAGTCATTGAAGTATCACAACCAATGTCTTGAGCTTCTGATTCCAACACTGTCGTGCGATGATAATGAGATTACCGAGGAATTACTAGCAGCCATTGCAATTCTCCGTCAGAATGAAGAAATGGATCGTAAGTACTATCCACGTAATAAGCTACTTCACATGCTTATAGCACTAGCTCAGGACAACCAGTTCCATTTAACGGGAACGACACGTATTTTAAATACAATGTCCTCCTTCGGATCCTCGGGAGGATTAGGTGAAGCAGCCGCCTGGTTGTGCCTTCGCGAGGACATGTACATATCACTCACGTCACAGTCGCCATTGCGGACAAATCTACAGAGCTTCGAGCGCTCGGATGTCTTCACTAGGACCGACGACTTTGCTTGGTCCAACCGGATGGTCTTTTTGTTGGCCAGGATTTTGAGCTGCGCTTTCAACGAGGACAGCCGTACCGGCCGTTTTTATGCTACACTTAAGGGTTTAGAGAAAGAAGTCGACGATTGGAATGAGTCAAAACCTCAGACATTCCAACCTGTTCATTTCATTCCTCGAGGAAAAGATTATGGTCAACAATTCCCAAGTATTTGGACGCTATTGCCAGTCCACGGTATGTACGCGCCCTAGCATCTTAGCGTGCTCACTGACCCAACGCAGTCGTCGGTTTACAATACTACCACATCGCAAAGATTATACTTGCTTTGTCTGGTTGTCCAAGTCCGTTTCTCCCATACCAAAGCCTGCAGCGCTCACGGGACGTTGAAGTATGTCGACATTGATCATTGCCGCACAGCAGTAAGGACTAATTAAATCCAGAAACTTGTCCGAGGCCATCTTCTCAATGTACTAGGCCTAGCTGCGTCGAACCCTAGAGCTGAGAACACCCTTTTCACTGCACGGCATAGTTTAGTAGCGTGTGAGTTATGCTTGCCATGTTTTCTTTGCACTGGGTCACACGAACTGACATTTTCAGGGGGGTGGATACTACGGCATAAACTAGACCAAGAAGCTGCTGAAGAGCTACTGCGTTACATGGAGTCGAAGACTGGCTGGAATACGTCCCACTTGATAGACTCACTGAGAGAGCAATGGAAAAGTGAACTTGTCGATGACTAAACCATACTGTGCCACTTCGCCATTATGCGCGTGTTGAAGTGATTTAGTAGTTCGGATGCACCTAATATTCCGGTCTCATAACCTCATGGTCCTCTTTGTAAGAGTGGAGCATGTAAATGATAAGTTATCTTCATTATATGCTAAATACAGAGCGTACTAGAGGTAAAATCCTGTATATTGTCTGTGTCATTAGATGTCTCATAAGACACCAGCCATGGACCTCATAATATGCTCTCCGCGCGCATACTATAAATCGAAGGTTTATGCTCATCGATGATCACGGAGTGCAGTCCATCAATTCGCATCTGGGCCACTTGATCGGGCGGCAAGGGCAAGAAGCTCCTGGATATTTAAATTTCGATATCTCTCCAAAGCTTCTAGGCGTCGTTTGATCCGCAACTGACCCAATAAGCAGTTAAAGCAGGTTTTATTTGCAGAAACATACAGCCATCGCTTGGTGGTATGTCAGTAGAACTCTTCTTCGCTAGCTTCAATCACTGTGAAATACGATGATAAACAAACAGCATGTCCAATAGCGGCGCTTCCAGCGGAGCTTCTCACTGGTACCATCGTTCTCCTGTAAGTACAGCAAAGCAGGAAGCATCACTTCATGACAGATCCAGCAAGGATTTTTGTCCGCTAAATTGGCGGCAAGAGAAAGTCCGAAAGTGTATTTACTGGCGACGGCGAATTAAATATTCAATAATCGAATCCTCATAGTGTTTCCTGTGGAAGATGCTGCAAAAGGGGTTTGTTTGCTGCAGCTAGTCCATGGGAACTTGTTATCAAATCAATCACCCACGAGCAGGCAGACAACGTTCCAATCACCGAGGTCAACCATCAGCCCCACAACTATTTGCGCCACTTGTTCAGCTAGAGGGACAGTCGATGTCTCATGTTTTCGCTCCGAGGTCGAATGAATGCCTGACGGGAAGGGGAAGGGGCCGGGTCGGGACCGGCCGCTAAGATCCTTTTTATGGAGACTACTAACCAGTTGGCATGCTGGTAAAAAGGTTTCAGAAAAAGACGCGTTGGCATGCTAAGGCATCAAGGCAAACATGGAAGAACAGGGCTCGATGCGAAAATCAGCCTTTGAGTAGGATATACAGTCAGTCAACATTGAGCTTCTATACCTTATCTAACTGTCAGTCCAACATCTGCGTTGGGTATAGAAGAGAGGACATGATGATGGCAGGGAATACCATGTTTCGCGCACTCATGCAGTGCTTCATTGCGTAGACAGCCAGTCCTCACAGCATGAGACTTTTTAATGGGAGTAAATCCCTGCTTAGTAGTGTGCTATTGGAAATCTAGACTCCGGAGGACCAATCCGTAGTGACCAGTCGTTTCGTATCGAGTGTGGAGACGCCAAAATACGCTTATCCGGTGGTACAACCGCACATAGGATCGACATTGGCTTGGGACTGTGAAACACAACTGCTCAACAATCAGATCTGATCTGTGTGAATGCAAATCGATATGCATAAGCGATCTCTCTCAACCACGTGTGGCCATCGGACTTGTTAAGCTTTGCCACGATCTCGTTTTCTACTCACACGTGCCGTTTTGTCCGACGCTGGCCGAGGAAAGGGTATCCTGTCTTTTCAGAACAGACTAGTGGCCGCCTAATTTCACCTAGAATGCAAGCAGATGTGCAACTCTTGGTGGCACCTGACTCTTCCGTCCACCTTGAGGTTGCGCTTAGGGGCCGACGATCTTTGCAGCAGCCAATGGGATCAACAGTGAATGTTATTGCTCGTTCAGTATGGATTTCTGCATTTCCTGCAGTTGAACTTGACTCCTCTTCTTCTCTCTCATGTGGAAATCGAAATCAAATCTGAGCCTCCCTACCGGCCATGGCTCCTACTTTCCTGAGAAAATTTAGTCGTCGCCGCCGTCGCGATGACAACAACATCGTCGAGCCTTCTCCGCATCCGGAAGCCCCAAAAATGCGGGGAGCAATACCAGCGCCACCAATGTCGTCCACACACAACAAGCCCGAAAACAACTGGCATGCAGATGCTTATAAGACAGAGAAGTACGATGCAGTCTGCGGATTCCACGCTCAGCCTGCCAACGCATCCAAGACCGACACCGACCCGTCCCCACGAAACACTCAAGCCTTTAAAGAGCCCAGCGTTGACCTCTCAGACCAAGAACCAGCTTTCACCTGGCAGGACATTAAGCCACGTGCGGATCCCAACCCACCACCGATCTTAGAATTCTTCAACTTCGAACCATCACCTACAGAGAAGGACAACCTCCTCGACATGGAGACACAACCGCAGACCTCCGAGGTCGGGAACCCGCTCCCACAATCTAGCCAGGCGCGGAGCGCAGGAGCAACAGCTCACTTCTCCACTGCGCACGAAGAACGAGAAAGACAATGCGCTCTGGAGCGTGCAATTCAAGCGAGACTGCTCGGGATATCCACTACTTTACCCCCCTACAACCAAGTGAGCGGTGCCGTGATCGTGAACGACGAAGGCGTACCGCACTTCCTGTCGCCGGAAGAAGAGGAGGAACGACAGGCCTCTTTAAGGCGCGCGGTCGAGGAGAGGATGCTGGGGCTTCCGCGCCGGACGAGCTTTACCTGGGCGCAACCGCATGGCCCTTCGTTACCGTCGTACTCGCCTGCGACATACAAATAGTCCACTTGGCTTTATCTCGGACAGACTGGGATTCGGAGTTCGGACTCGGGCATTATTACGTTGACCTTGTTATCTTGTATTGTACAGCACACCTTGGCGTCTGGCATTTTTGTACATACCCTCGTTTGAATTGTGCTCGGTTCAGAGCATTGACGCGCTCGCTTACGAGCCTACGGGCAAGTCGGTTGCTCCTTCTCATGGGAATTCGAGATAATATTTACTCTTAATATGCGTTTTAACAGGAGGCTATGGCGGGATGGCAATGGCTGACTTGCAAAGCGCTTGCTGGTTCCCGTAGTGAATGAACAACAATTGACACAACGCCGAGATATGTATAAACAATGCCTAACCGCTATATGCAACTTTTATTGCCTCAGGTATATCCACCAGACTTGACCGGCTGCCACGCTAGCTGCGGAACAACCGCAGTCCAACCTCCTCACGATCCTCATCACTTTCCTCCGCAGCACTGGCATCCTCATCATCCCCCTCTCGCAATAACCCACTCGCCGTCTTTCCAAGCAAGGAGGCAAAGAACTCCTCGCGAGCGGTATTGGTCCACGTGCCGCGATCCTCAGGCGCCATGAAGTTCTGCAGCTTCTCGTGGACATCGAAGCGCATCTTTCGGCCCTTGGAGGCCCGGGTATCGATGTCCCGTTTGACCTTGTCCTTGCGCATGCCCGTAATAGGGTGGATACCTTGCCGGGAAGGCAGCTGGAGGTGTAGGGTATCGAGTCCGTTCGTGATGGCGTCGGAGGACGACATGCGCTGCTCGACGAGGTCTCGGAGGAGGGACTGGTAGAAGACGGTGTCGTCGTAGACCGGTTCGGGCTCCTCGTCGGAGGAATTTCTCCGGCGCTTGGCGGCGCGGTCGCCCGTCTCCGAAGCGACCTGCGCGTCGATGACGGCGGTGACGGTTTGTTGACTACCGGCGCTAGCGCCGAGGAGCTTTCCGCGCGCGTTGGGGAGTGTGGCGGTGGAGCCGCGGACCTTGAGGGACCACTTGTCGAGCACGGCGCGGCGGTGGGCGACGGCGTCGGACTCGAGGTCAGTCATGCGCTTCCACAAGGAATCGGTGGATGTCGCGACGGACACTGCGGAGGGTCGCTTGCGTTTCTTGGACTCGTCCTGGGTTTGTGCGTCTGCCAGAGCGAGGCGCAGGTCTTCGAGGGTGGACCAAAGCGCGAGCGCGGCGGATTCGGCGGACTTGATGGCTTCGCCGTCGATGTTTGTCTTGTCATCATTTCCCTTTGCGGCGATGGAGAGCTGGTTGATCGCTGTCATGCCCTTTTGGAGTTTGATTCGTGCGTTGAGCAAGGCGTCGAAAGTTGCTCGCTGCTGCTTGACGGCCCGGCCCTTGGCAGCGTCTGCTTTGGCGGCTTGGGAAATCGTGGCTGCGATTGTTTTTTGATCGGAGGACATGAGTCGGCGCAGTTCCTCGCGGTCATCGGATTTGGATGTTTTCTCAAACCGCACTCTTCGGTTGTCGGTTTCCTCATCCTCGTCCTCGTCCTCGTCCTCGTCCTCATCCCCTTCATCGTCATCAGAAGGAAATTCTCCGTCCATGTCATCCTCGTCGAATAAATCTTCCGAATCGTCCTCGCTTCCTTCAACCTCCTCAGACCCGTCGGTATCCATGCCTTCGCCATGCTCTTCGTCCGACGAAAACTCCGACTCCTTCATCTGCCGCTTGCCATCCTTTCCGGAGCTCCTAGATTTCCGTGGTCGCTCTGCTTCGCTCTCCTCGGATGCGTCTTCTTCCTCGTCGCTTCCTAGCTCGGAATCCTCTTCGTCCTCGTCCTCACTACCATCCTCCTCGTCGCTAGAGCGTGCTTTGAAAGGGTCATCATCACTCTCGGCTTCAAGCGCGTCCCGGCTGATTTTCGAGCCGGCATATTGTTTTCCGAGGTTAATTGGGTCCTGCTTGCGAAGCCTCGCCTTTCTGGTCGTAGTTAACACCTTGAAGACGATGACTGTGCGCGGTTGGGAAAGCTCTAACTCACCCTACAGCTTGATAATGTTCTCGTCCAGCATTAGGATCAGCAGCTTCGGCACCTTCATCCTCACTGTCTGGCCCAGCGCGTTCCAAATCTTCGGGGTCGAAATCTGATCACAGTGTTAACCTTCATTTGAACAGGACAACCAATTTGTCCAACACCAACCTTTAGGTGTCGGGTTTTCCAGCTCTGCGAGCTGTTCTGCAAGTGATTTTGGCGCCATTTTTGCGCCCTGGGAAAAGTTGAAGGTACGGAGGTTGCCGTCAATAAGATTTGGCCGCGATAATTTTTTATTTTTTCTGCCCGTGATATTTTTTGAGAGGGCGGAATGCGGTATCGGATAAACTTTCCTTTTCAGGGCGGGAGCTGGTCTGATTTGGAATGTTGCTCCAGGCGGTGTACATTTCTCTGGCAGTAAATGATGTCGATTGTGGCTCCTCTCTGAAACGCTTGGTCTGCCATCAACAGCAAATATGTTACAGAAGAGACTATTTTCGGCTCTTCGAGCTCTTCAACATGAAAATCCTTTGGTAGACGGCCCTCTGGACAAGTTCGCTTATTGTGGATATTAATGGTAGCAGGGTCTTCCGCGATCCGGCACACCACCGTCATTCCCGCGCCGCCGGGGGTTACCAGAAAAGCGCAAGATCCGTGATGTTAAAAAAGTGATTGCGGTATCATCAGCCAAGGGTGGTGTGGGCAAATCTACCATTGCAGGTATGAAACTTTGTCTTATATACCATCCTGATAGCTTCATATCAGCAGTTGATGAACCTCCTGCACGTATTTAGTAGATCTCTGACTTTTCTCCGCCAGTGAATCTCGCTTTATCTTTAGCTCGCCGTGGGATTCGTACAGGTATCCTGGATACTGATATCTTTGGGCCATCGATCCCAACTCTTCTCAACTTGTCTGGTGAACCCCGCTTAGACGAAAGTGAGACTGTCATTTGAGCCACATGCCTTTGGATCGCAAGAGCTAACGGGTGGACTAGACAACTGCCTCGTCCCTCTGACTAACTATGGCTTGAAATCAATGTCAATGGGCTACCTCCTCCCACAGCCGAAAATGGACCCGTCGCAACCTGCGGGGAACATTCCCATGGACACCACTCCTATCTCATGGCGTGGTCTGATGGTCACCAAGGCCATGCACCAACTTCTCCATTCCGTCTCCTGGGGCCCTCTAGATGTGCTGGTCCTGGACTTGCCTCCCGGCACCGGCGACGTACAATTAACAATCGGACAAGAGCTCGTCGTAGACGGCGCCTTGATTGTAACTACACCACAGGATATCGCGCTGCGCGACGCCGTCCGCGGCTTTGGCATGTTCGAGAAAATGAACATCCCCGTCCTTGGGATGGTTCGCAACATGGCCTACTTCGCTTGCCCGCAGTGTGGTCATCAAACGAAGATCTTCTCCCATGGTGATAGTCATAGCCATGGCTCGGAGGACTCGGGCGTGGTTGCCGAGTGTAAGCGCCTAGGCGTCGAATTCCTCGGGGATATCCCTCTCGACGCTAAAGTCTGCGAAGATGCTGACCGCGGAGTGCCTACGGTTGTCTCAGAGGAGAGTGATGATCGGAGCGTAAGGCGGAAGGCTTTTCTGGATGTTGCCGAAAAGGTGGCGCGAAAGATTGGTCTGGAGTGGAGTTGATGGTAACTGCCATGTTATATGTATAATAAATATACCCGAATGTCTTCTTCCTATCTGATATACGGATGACCTGTTTCTTCATAGTGTCAGTAATTGAACGTCAAACGCCTCGCGGGCTCTTCGTCGTTTCAGCCCGAAAATATATTGATTCCTTACGCATATGAAATAGTCTACTACTTATGCATAGCTCTTTGCTCATCCCATGCCATCTGGTAAAGCCTCTAGTGCTCATGACAAAGCTCCCTATCCTGCTCTAGTGGCACCCCAGCGGGGCTAGCGCTGGAAAGTTACAGGCATTCGAAAGGCTGGACTTTCTGCCAACTTTGTCAACCGACGCCAAAAGAAGCGTTTTCCTGATTTAAGAAGAGCGGTAGTGCTGAAAAGAGATCTCTATTCCTTAGCCAACTTCAGCTAGAGCATCTACTGTAAAGATTCTTATAGACACTCGTCCTAACTCTGAGACATAATTTATTTAATGTCTCTTTAATAAGATCTGAAGCAGGCGAATCTCACGTCTCATTGAGTTTGAGATATTCGGGCAAACCAGGGCCATAAAGCCGAAGGTACTAGGCAGCCTGCAAGAAAGGCAACACTTTTCATTCAGGCGGTTCGGCCGAATTAATGTGGCTTATGCTCAAGAAGCAAAACTGTAGGTGGTATCGGGGTCCAGTAACTCATGTTCTCTTTGGCTGTTCATTGGATGCTGCGCTATCCCACATGCTAAGAGTTGGTTGTCATTGTAGCTCCACCAAATCAAGTGGGGTTCAACTTAAACGTGATATAGACTGGCTGGATGCTTTGAGAAGAAAAAAAGCATACAAGCCTGAAGCCAGTCTCGAGTTCAAGTGTAACAAGGGCAGATGTAAGTAGCAACCAAAGAGTTGCTCAGCTGAACAGGGCATGAAGCCTCAGACACTGACATTCAGGCAATTGGGTCATCGTCTTCTTTAAGTTTTCCTTCTTTGTACTGCTGCATTACCTTTAGCACTACTGCATTACCTTTAGCACTACTGCATAAGGTATTCGGACCCATCACATCCCAATGTACTAGGTATTTACGCTGAAAACAATCCATTCTTTTGCTTGGGATGTAAAGTTGCAGATATTTTAACCGGTTAAACAGTTGCTTCAGCTCCACTGTTTATCATAGAAGCAAGGCGATTTCTTAGGACCAGGTTAATGCCGACCACGTCAGTTTCTCATTTGAATACCAGTAGTTAAACAATAAGGTAGCCAGCTCTCTTTAAGACGGCAGATCTGCAATACAGAAGCCTAAAAGGTGGAGAGGGGACAATCTATACCTACTGGCTACTCTAATGAGAGCTGTCAGAATTTGAACTATAAGGTAATCAAATTTGGCAGGACGATCTTGGGCAAAATCTTTGGGCCATGCAGATATGACGGGTCCAGTTATGGACTGCAGAGTCAGATGTCTAGGCACGAGTGTGAACAGCGCCACACTCCAAGCACTCCTGCAGACAGTGTGATGGACCACTCTTCAGATTTCCTCCAACCAACGAAGCCCTTTCTTTCCTTGCCGTGTCTACCTATTCAGCCAGCCACAGTCTCCTGTTCATGGCCCAAAGGCTATGGTTGATCTGTAATACGGCACTGTGTATATTGCATATCACAGTCGTATCAGCAGTCAGAATTGGGATGGTCCAATGTGGATTGCTCAACAGTGTGCATGGATATGATGTGAGATCACTTGTAATCCCCTGCTTTTCGCAGGCACCAGGTCTGTATCTTTCAGGTTCAATCTCCTAAGTGGCCAGTTTACTACTCCTCGGGTCAACTGACTTGATGACCAACTCCCTAAAGGGACGGAGGGACAACTTTCTTGTCTCTCGTAATTGAGGTCACTGCAATTCATGTCAATCCTTTTTAGTATCCATATTCTTGATGTTGCAGTGCATCACCATTGAGATGAGACAACGAAATGCGGCCCCATGATGATCGGCAAGAGGGATGCATGTCTGTCATTAGTTCCTATTTTCAAAGAATCGAAAGGCTTCCCAGCTTCTTCAAAGGCCTGCTGCGTATATGTATCATTTGGTTGAAGTAGACACTGGAAGCCTATAAATGCACCCATCTCCCTTGATTCACTTCATGTTTGAATCCCAATTCTCACCATCGAGCAGATAAGACAAATATCTCAACTCATTATTTCAGAACCATCCCTTGTTTTTACCTCTCTCCACGATGAAGACCCCCGTTATCTTGGCCTTGTCCCTGACATTGGGGCTCGTCTACGGCCAAACTGCCCAGCAGCACTACGACCGAATCTGCACCTTCCCTTCCGACGAAGAAGTTGAAGTGGAGCCGAAACTCTTTGTCACCTACCACTGCGGCAAGTACGCTCCTCCAAACAACCAGTACCAGGCATATGCCGCAAGTACCCCCGAGGATTGCATCAAGGCCTGTGCCAACAAGGGGAGCGGATGTCTGGGCAGTGCCTGGACTAGTCTGCCCAGCGCCACAAGCGCCTGTCTCCACGCCAAGCACTCCGCGCTTCCCGCGCTCGTCGATAAGCAGAGCGTTGTGTTCATGACTTATCGGAAAGCAAAAGATGATAATGGGGATCCTTTCGGTGAAAGCACCCTGGAGCAGTTGCAAAAGTGCAAGGACGATCTGGCCGCCTCCAAGAAGAACGAGGCGAAATTGGCAGAATGCGAAAGCAAAGCTGCCTCTGGCCCTCGGCTACCTCCCTACAAGGATTGCCCCGCCGGGTCTGACGAGATTATCACCATCGGAAATAGGCGCTTCAAGCAAAAATGCAACATGGCGATGGCCAAAGCCGCGGCGAACATCTACCGGACTATTCTACCGGGACTTACTCACGAAGAGTGCGCTCTACTATGTGCTCTCGACCCGAAATGTCAGAGCGCTATGTCCGTTAGGACTAGCAGCACGGCCGGGGAATGCCAGTTTTCCAGCCGGAATATCGAATCGTCGCTGTACAGTTCCACACCAGACCGGACTTACGTCCCTGTGTGAGTACCAAGCACTTGATGAAGGAAGAAACTGTTTTGCGAGTCACTCCCGGCCTTGGGTCGGAGCATCAGTGAAATAGGCAAACAGGTTCTTCATAAGCACGAATCTTCTCTTGATTGCAGGGGGCTGATTACCTACCAAGGCACAATTTTGTCTGCTGAATCTTCAGTGAAACCTATCAGGACTCATGTGATCCTGTGTTTGTCAGTTTTTTTCACTTGCATTTTGTCACTGAAGTGTACCTGTTGAGAATCCGGTGGGATTTCATAATCTGTCTGTCGTTTATTTGAATATGCCTATATGCCTTTACCTGGTATATCACATTCCAATCAAACACGTGGTCCCAAATGGTCAGTACACTCCCCTCTGGAAGTCCTCTAGAAAATACCTTCAAGCGAGGAGGTGCCCATAACAATGGCCAATAAGACCAATTCCGAGCCGTACATCTATAGTTCTGTAAGGAAATCAAGCTGGTGCGTCAGTGTGGGAGAAGATACTATTCGCAAGCCACCACCCAACCATAAAATCCCAAAGAAGTCTGGGTTTCCTCGCTGATCAAGACAGTTGTTCACGTTATATCACTCAGTTTTTTCATGTTTTCCTCAGAGCTGTCACTGTTAACCCATGACAGATGCCAATTAGCATATTCATCCACAACTGCCTCAGAATGTCTGGGAAGATAAATGTAGTCAATTTGGCATTGTCTCAGAGGAGAGATGACTGTAGTGTGAAGTGTAAGACTTTTCTTAATGACTAAAAAGGTTGCGCGAAAGATTGATCTGGACTGGTGGTGGCAGTGAACTGCCATGTTATTTTGTATATATACCTGAATTGCTTGCCAATCAGACAACACAATGACCTTTTTCCCTTCAGTGCTTTCAGTGCCATTAACTAATACTAAAGTTGCTTAACGGAACCAGTACAATCGAATCCAACCCTCACCGAACTCGCAGTGGTGAAGGTTCAGTGCCTAGCCTAGGGAACCACACTAGTTACAGTTTCCTTACCCCTAAAACCGAATCCATTCAGTTTAGACCATTGGTTATGGTATTTGCAGATTCATCAGTTTGGTTAAACCAAGCCGCACTATTTTGCTTAGTACTCATCCTCCAGAAATATTATTATCACTAGATAACCTAGTAGCTAGTATATCTAAATATGAAGTATCAATTCAAAATATCTAGTGGTTAGCGATATACAAGGGAATAATCATCTCTACCAGGGGTTGGTATGAAAGTGGTGGTGGTGGTTTATATATATATGCGCATCAACCTTCGATAATTACTATACTCTAAGAATGATTTTTAGCCACCACCTATTTAACCCTATAGATATTAAATTGATATTTTAGATATAGATAATAAATGACTAATTGCTATATATTTCATATAAAAATATTAATTTTCTCAAGGTATATTTAATAAGCCCTTAGCATAGGCCCGAGACAGGAGAAATTGAATTCCAAAGCCATTGAAATTTAACTGTTTATCCAACTCAAATCGAAACCAAACCAACCGAATCTAACTATGGTTAGTTAGTAGGGCCCTAGCTAGGCCTAGCTAGGCCTAGTAGCGGGTTTTTTGCGGGTGAAACTCGCACCAAATCAGATTGGATCAGGGTTGGTCCCGATTTCTTGAAATCGCAGCGGTTTGGTGCCAACTGGGGTTGAACTCTCCTGAACTCGGACCAAATGCAACCCTAATAAAAGCTTACTTCTTATCCTCTTAGGTAGATTCCGTGAGCTATACCCTATACCCTACTATCTACTCTCCTAGGCCTGCCCCTAATATCGAAACTTATAAAGGGTTTGTGGATGCCCCGATATCTTCACACACTGTTTTGAGAAGGGAGGCGTGTATTGCATGTTTTCGCACCAACTATCGTTGGCTATGGGGAGACTCACCGACGTCGATGGGCATGATTGCTTGTAATGAAGCTGGCTTAATTGCTTTACCTTTTCCAGGTATTGTCCCAGCAATACCAAAGGGTGTTAGCAGAAAATTGGTCAAAGTGGGACTTGGTGTGAGCAGGACGGTCATGCCGACAAATCCTTCGCAGAGAAAAATAATACATTTCATATACACATGTATATAGCTCAACCTGATACATAAACATTATACATTGTACGTTATCACTTCATAGATGACAGCCCCTACTGAGCAGTAAATTGCACAACGATCATGGACAGTTTGGCTTGCGACCAGCCATCTCCACGATCAGATCTTCTCGACAAACTCCTCACATCTCTTCTCGCCGCCCGCATATCCACCGTTCTCAATCTCCATCTTCTGGATTTCGGCATTGAATTGAGTCATGCGCTTGGCAAACTCCTTCTCCTCTTCCCACACGAACGGGCTCTTGCTGGCGAACAGGAAGTCGATCTGCTCGAGCGTGCGGCCGGCAGTCTCGGGGAAGAAACAGTAGATGATGGGGATGTAGACGAGCATGGCGGCACCGAAGACGTAGAACGTCTGAGAAAAAAAAAGGTGTCAGAAATGAAAATATGGGAAAGGGAGGATAAGAACGAACCTTCTCCTGGATACCGGCAAACATGACCGGGACCAGCATCGACCCAGCGCCGTAGCCGACCGCCCAACCGGCAACACCGAAGGCGTTACCCTTGGCGCGCAGCCATGTAGGGAAAATCTCGGTCGGATAGATGAAGGGAATCATCAACCAGGAGGAGCTGAAGACAACGATGTAGAGGAAGACCATGGCGGCGGCTCCGGTTCCGTACTGTGCAGCCTTGTCGGGGTTGTTGACGGCTCCACGGTTCAGACCACCACTGGAGGAAAGTCAGCAGGAGCCCACCGTCAAGGACGAAATGGTTCTGTACTCACAGGGTAAAGAGAATAATACTCAAAACGACCGCTCCCCAGTAGAGGGTCCGGCGACGACCCACTCGGTCCAAGGTCAAGGCAGCGATACCAGTTCCCAGAATACCGCATGTCATGCACACGGCAGACAGCCAGTTGGACTTGAAATCATCGAAGCCAGCAGTGCGATAGATGTTACCCGAGTAGATGACAACCGCAGCGATACCCGTGCCGTACTGCATCAGAACCTGGAGCCAGAAGGCCAGCTGGATACGACGTTCAATATGAATATCCCCCGATCCAATGCCCAAGAACATTTTGATATAGCTGGAGCTCTGCGACTCCTGTTCCATCTGCACGACGGCGACGATCTCGCGAATTTCTTTCTGCACATTCGGATGGTCGCGGTCGCCATCTCCACGGAGCTTGGTGATAATCTCGAATGCCTCCTCGTTGCGTCCGACCTTGACGAGCCATCGAGGAGACTCAGGAATGAGCAGGGTGCCGATGACGAGGAAGAAAATCGGGATCACTTGGCAGGCAAAGCAGAAGCGCCATCGAAAGGCGCCGCCGGCGTAATCGGTCAAGGAGGTAGCGAAGCCAATCCAGGAAGACAAGGCAATGCCTCCAAAGTTGGCGAGGAAAGTCAGGGCGATCATTTGACCCCGATGTGCCGCTGGAGCCAGCTCTGCGGTCCACGAGGGAGCAATAACGATGATGAAGGCGACACCGACACCCGCGACGACACGGGCGCAGAGCATGTGAGCGAGATTCACGGCACTAGCCTGCAGGATGGCTCCGACAAGACACCAGACGCAGGCCAGCCAGATACCCTTAATACGCCCGTAGGCGTCGGAGAAAGAACCGGCCCAGAAGGCTCCGAAGAGAGCAGCGAAATAGTACATGGCAGCGATGCCACCCTGCAGAGAGGGCTTGATGACTTTTCCATGCTCATCGGCGAAGCCCATACGATGCTGCAGTTTGTGATACTCGATTAGCTCACGATTCTGATTTTCCTTGGGGATAATGCTTCAGGAGTACTGCGGTTACATACTCCATATTCCGGGGCGACATTGACAGCGCCCATGACACCCTGACTCATGCCCTCATAGGAAATGGCCACGGCAGAGACTGCAGTTATCAACTTGAGCAGTCTAGGTCCAGAGACCGTCTTCCAATAACCATTGTGCATCATGGTGAATAAACTTGAGTGAGGAAAAGAAAAAGTAGCCAAAGACAAATTAGGGATGAATATATAACGTGGAGAAACCAAGACTGTGAGTACCCCAGAAACTTGATAGAGAGAAGATCATCGTCGTATCAGGGAGATTTGGGTGTTTTTTATAGATGCTGAGTGTTTCCATCCATAGTATGTATGATGGGGAGAGGGAGAGAGAGAGAGGCAAACCCCATGGGGAGAGGAAAGCGAGAAACTGGGGCTCTATGATGTTTCTTGGTTCCCCATCATAATTCATAACTCTAAAAGCCTTGGAGGCTCTATGACTTTTCTTGGTTCACTGTGCATTGACGGAATCCCTCCAAAGTCCAAACTCAAAAAAAAAACCTCGGGGACTCTTTCCTTCTCCGTCTTCCGCCTCCACTACCCATAGAATCCCGAGATCTATTCTTCCAACTTTCCCATCTCTCCACACTCTCCTCTCGATCCTGTCCCCTGTCCCTGTCCCCTGTCCCTGTCTCCTGTCTCCTGTCTTGTGTCTTCTGTCCATTCTCGTCTCGATATTCCTTCTTTGGGACAGACTTAACTCGCTACTACCATTCCACTTCTGCAGACCTCGGGGATTTCGCCACGGCTTCCGACATGGGAAAGCTTCGCTCAAAAGATGGATGGTCAGTCTTTCCCCGCCATAATTTCTCTACACTACACTAGCTGCACACTTCACCTGTCCATAATCGGAAGGAAGGGTGGCTGGTCCAGATCTATATCTCATGCCTTGGGACGGTTGTGGGGAAGGTTGTCGCCAAGCTGAACTATTGACTCTGTGACTGCCGACGGAGAAAGTGTCGACGCTCTGTCTTTGCGTCATGATTTTTTTGCTAAGTTTCATCACAGCCTAACTTGTCGGAAGAGGCATGTCAAATGTATGCCACTGAACAGTTCAATATAGGCTGAATGCAACGGCTTACCCGAGAACAGGCGACCAAGCCAAGCCGATCTGTTCGCAGTGCCAGAAAAAGAACCGGTCATGTCTTCGAGAAGATCCATCCAATCGCATCAGGATCAAGCACTATCAACCACGAAAGGCCAGGAAAGACCCCAAGGATGCTCCTGGCCATCACCAGGATGAAATATCTCCCCTTCCGGAACACAGAACTGCAGACGCAGTGATTGCTAATGCAACCAGCCCTGAACACATTACCCATCCAATCTATGCCGAATTCTGTAATAACCAATATCGCAATGCCTCGGTGACATCACCATACAACACACAAGGATCTACTATCCTCCCAAAACTCACCAACAACTCTGTTCCCGTGCCCCTAATGGTCTCTCCAGGCAACAATACCACTACCCCACCCTACTGCAGCGTCGTGGGAATCCCCATCTCCCATCAGCTTCGACCGGACTCTTTAAGTCCATGCTCTCCGGCTTCGCCTACAGGTGCGATACATGCAGGGGCTCCACTGACCTACAGAGAAGCTTACCTTGTGCATCACTTTGCAACGCACCTCGGGTATTGGCTCGACTGCACCGACGCTTCCCGCCAGTTTACTCGAAAAATCCCCATCCTGGTCAAGCAATCGCCGATCCTGCTGCATGCCGTACTTTCCTACGCGGCCCGGCACGTCGGGGATGCTGAAATGGCCGAGCAGGCCCATGAGCGTTGCGTAGAATTATTGATTCCCTCTCTGAGCTCGGAAAAGGTGGCCGACGATGATGTTCTGCTGTGTGCCATTGTCATCCTGCGGGTGTTTGAACAGTTGAACGGTAAGTAAGAAAGTTCCGAGTCATGCCCCAGACCAGGCTAACTTGGGACTGCAACAGTCATGGTGACCGGAAGCGATCAGGAGCGTCATTTAGCTGGCTGCTCGGCTCTGCTCCGAGCGTCGCAAGGCCGGGAGGTGGATCCATCGACCCCGGGGTTGCGGCAAGCGGCTTTCTGGGTGTACATGCGTCAGTGCCTGTACAATGCCTGTATACATCAGCAGGCCCCTAACGTGGATTTGGTGAACTTGGTTCTCATCCCCCCGCCGGGCGGAGGTGACCCTCTGAGCGATCTGAGGTCTGAAACAGCCTGGGCCAACACCATGACTTGGATCTGTGCCACGGTGGTACACTTTTGCTTTGGATCGAGTTACCCTGAGCCCTCCACCAGAATACGCCGATGGCAACAGCTATCCGAGGCTGTTGAGACTTGGTTGAGCACCCGACCGGATACATTTAACCCAATCTGGTATAGCGAAGCTGTCCAGGGGAGTGAAAACCCATTCCCAGAGATATGGTTCACGGCGGACTGGCATAGTATGTCTGCCAAAAGTTTTCTTCTTTTGCGCTGTCTAATGTTGTTTGTAGTTATGGCGTTCGGATTTTATCATCTCGCCTGTATGCTCTTGGCCATCTACAAGCCATCGCCTAGATTTGCGGTCAGGGGGCTACATAGCACAGCTCGTGAGTCTGATGTGAGTTCTGGTGTTCTTTTTATTGTTTCCGGCTGTCGTGCGAGTGAGTTCTCATTGACGCCATCAGATCCGAGTCATGATGCACGCTCGCGCAATCTGTGGGGCATGCAACAGTTCCCCTTCGACGGTGCCATCATTGATCACGCTCTGTCATTCCACCTTTATATGTAAGACATGTCCAGGATACGTGTGGGATGCTGTTACTGACATCGACAGGGGGTCCCTTGATGACAGATTCAGCAGAAAGGGCAGGAGTAATTAGACTGCTGCGAGATATGGAAGCGACGCATGCATGGCCGACAACTTGGATAATCAATTCTCTAAAAGAAGAATGGACGATGATATAACGGCGTTCACAACGCGCCTACATCAAAAGTAAAGGGAATTTATTTATCGACGCGACAAAGGAAATCATTGACCCTCATTAAATGATACCACGGCATACTTTCCATTCCGGATCCAGGCACCACTGGGCGCCTCCTCGTTTAACGCGTCAACCTTGCTCTGGGTCGGGACTCCAACGCAAACGTCGGACTTGTTCGTGCGAAGGGCCAAGATCTTGACGCCGCTCTCCTTGCCTAGGGGACCCAGAGCTTTCTCGTATGTGGTGGTGTGGGGCCACATCCCATCCCTGGTCAGTTTGCGGTAGTTGAGGTCGCCCTTAAAGATGACCAGGTAGCTGTTCTGGAGCTCCTTGAAGAGGGCGGGTGCCTTGGATGGCATCTCGTGGAATGAGAACGGCGTCGTCCAGAAGGGGTCGCTAGTGGTCGTGATGGCGCCCGACTGGAAGAACTCGCGGAGTCTCGGGATGAGTTGGTCGAGATACTCGCGGCCTGGGAAGCATTCAGAGGAATCAAGATGCTCGAACAGCGATTCGACATCCGAGGGAATGACATCGCTAACGAACCACGGGAACTCCTTGGTATGCAGTCTGACAGAGGTAGAAATGCCGGCTTCCAAAAGATAAGCGGCATAGAGCACATCAGTGAAGAACTCGAAGCCAGCGTTGTCAAGGACAATGTCGATCTGGCGACTAGCCTGGCCGGCAGTGCGCTGAAGATACGCCCAGACGTCGTCAGTGTCGTTGTCGACAATGTTCCGCTGACTCTTCTGGATGGCCTCACGACCCTGCAGGTTTTGCAAGTCCTCCAGGGTCAGGTTAGCGAGGAGTGACAGGTCGGTGGCGTTTCCCCACAGGGCGATCTCCGTCATCTCGATAAACAGCAACTTCTTGGCCACTTCCTTGCTCTCATTCTGGGCGAGTCGAGTATCGGCAACGATCTGCATATAATGGCTGGCGAGCTCCTCGACTGCGGCCCTCGATTTGACAAAGCTAGAGTCTTTCTGGCGCTTGAAAATATCGTAGTTCTGCCAGTGTTTTGAGGAGTTCAGGATCCTCTGGATGCTTCTGGAGGGATTTTCAGCGCAATTGCTCGATTACGATCTTTGCAGGGAGAGTTGTACCTGTACATATAGCACTCTCCAAAGAGCCAAGGACAGTTAATCCAACTGCACTCGCCAATGGCAGCTAGCTTCTTGTTCCACTCTTGAATATCGAGCTTGCCGTCATCTCGTAAGGGTCTGAAGCGCCGTGAGTCCCTGCGTTTCGGTTCTTGGGAGAAAGTAGTACCTACGTGAGGGGCTCGTTCTGTTCAATTCCTTTCTTGATGTCCCTGAGGGCAATCTGAATGGCGATGCTTTCCGCTCTCTTCTGGCAGTCAACATCTTCCGCGGCGGCTGTTTCGCCAATGTCATCGATGGTGCCCTGAATGATTTTGGCCCATCGGTTCTCGGCCGTCTGTTTAGCCATTGACCCTTTCTCTGATGTCCAAACTGCACGAACTTCTTGAGCGTTCATGGTGGCGGAAGGCATGACGATATGACTCTGACAGATCAGACTGGACAAGGTTCCAAGGTCTCAAAAGTTAAGGAAGCATTGACAGCAGATTCAGGGGACTATTTATGTATTCCTTATCTCAAATAACAAAATTGGAAGGAATTGTCCCCCACCTGGTCCCCAAAAAGGTAGCAGAGCTCGAGGTCCGCTGACCACCATCTCTGGAAGGCCGCTACGCGAATACTGGAGGACCCTTGGCTGCCTCCCGGAGCTAGAGAAAGTGGGTGGGGCGATCGTGTAAACGGCCCCAGACTGACCGCTTAAACGGCTCTCACACGGCTTAAAAGGCTCTCCACGTCTTTGCAATCCCGGGGATTTGATGGTCTGTGCACCTCGTCTCGAAGATACCCAATTAGGCAATACTGGCTTCCATGTCGGCCTCAGAATTAGTCGGGATGGAGCTCGCAAGTGCATCCTGAATCCTCACTTCTCAATAGTTTCTCGTGCGCATGACCGCACATCTTTGAATTATGAGGGGTAGTGGGGTCTTCTTAATTGCCCGCAAGAACTGGCTTAGGTTTCCAAAGGTATATGAAGCTGTTCTTCGCTCTGGTTTACTGCTGGGATCCAAGTCTCATTGAGCTTCGATCTTGTATATACACATTACAAAAATGGTCACTTCAATTGAATTTCCCGAGCCCAATGGCTCTGTCCACGTCAACGGCCCTCACCGTTGTGTCGCTGATGGTACTCTMGACATCACCGTCATGGGAATGAACAGCGGTACGGCTATGGACGGCATTGACTGCGCCCTTGTTCGTTATCGCCAGGATTCTCCTGAAGCTCCTTTGCATATGGAGATCCTCAAGGTACGATAGCTCCTAATGGTCTTTTATGGTTCAACTTCAGTGGAATTGACAAATCGCCCTTGTATAGTACGACGAGATCCCCATCCCTCGGTTCATCAAGGAGCCCGTCCTCACCATGCTCCGCGAAACGAAAACTACTCCCTCCCTCATGTCCCAGCTGAACGTCCAGCTCGGCAACATGTTCGGCGAGACCGTCAAACTCTTCTGTGAGAAGCACAACGTTCCCATTAACAGCATCGACCTCATCGGCTCCCACGGGCAGACTATCTGGCTTCTCTCCATGCCCGAGGAGGGCGAGACGCGCTCCGCCCTGTGCCTGGGCGAGGGAACTGTCATAAGCGGCTTGACCGGCGTCACTACAGTCACCGACTTCCGCATGGCTGAACAGGCGGTCGGCCGCCAGGGTGCACCTCTTGTCGCTTTGATCGATGGTCTCCTCCTTCGCCACCCCACCGAATGGCGCATCTGCCAGAATATCGGCGGTATCGCTAACCTCTGTGTCATTCCGCCCGACAGCGAGGGTGGCGTTGACGCCATGGTCGACTGGGACTGCGGCCCGGGCAACATGTTCATCGACGCCGCGATGCGCTACTTCACCAACGGCGAGATGGAGTATGATCGCGATGGCGAGTGGGGTGCTCAAGGTACTGTCAACCAGGCAGTCGTTGACAAGTTCCTTGACAACAATAAGTACTGCAACCACCTGCCTCCCAAGACGACAGGTCGTGAGACCTTCGGCGACAATGAGGCCCAGGAGATCATCGACGAGTGCTTAGCTCTGGGCATGAGTAAGTACGACACCGTCGCCACCATCACCCGCATCACCGCCCAGAACATCGTCAAGCAGTACCGCACTTTCTTTCCCCTCTTCAACATCGATATCCACAAGATAGCCGGTGTCTATATGTGTGGTGGTGGTGCCCGCAACCCCAACATCATCAAGTATCTCAAGGAGCAGCTGCCCAGCTTGGAGATTCTCAAACTCGATGAGACTGGTGTTCCGTCCGATGCCAAGGAGGCTGTCTCGTTTGCTCAGCAGGCTCTCGAGGCTATTCTTGGCCGTGCCGCTCTTGTTCCCATTAACAGTGACACGTTGACGCCCAACACCATCTCGGGTAAGATTGCGCCGGGATTGCGGTGGAGAGAGGTTATGGCGATGGCAGTGGAATTCGGAAAGGGTCAGGCTCGGTTGCCGACGGTCAAGGAGATGGTTATTGACCGGCCCTACACCTATGGGAAGTCCTAGAAGGGGATGGCGGTGCAACTGTCTATTTGTATGATTAACTACTTGCATATAAGGTTTTAGCAATGGCTTCATTTCAATCCATCATTTTTAGCGACTTTGGAGTGTCTTTTCGGGTTCTGAATCCTCCTCATGGCCCTGTCAAGTGAAAATGCAGTGTACCACCATTTAGTGGGTAATGGGACGGTGTTATGTCTCAGGACTGTGCAGAACAAGAAGGATCCATTCCACAGCGGAGAAGGTGACATAGATGGTAGGTGATCTCCCCATGATTGTGCTGCTGTTTGAGATCTGCAAGTGAGATTAAGAAACAGTGGTATTATGTGAATCAGGACCTAGTCGAGCGATTGGGGAGTGAAGAAGATTTTGGTATTCACTTGGTATCCCTGACGAGGTCTACAGTGGCGCAGTGAAAGGAGCCCCCAATGCTATTGACGTGTTTAAACGGACAAAGGATACATTGCATCCCCAGTGATTCCAACCATGCCGCTGTCTTCAAGTCACTGGCCTCAGTAACTACCTTTTTCCCGTCAAGGACCAAGGCATTGAGGCACAACCACGGGCTGGTCATATAGAGTGGGGGGTAATCGGGCCCCTGAGGGATGTACGGGTAGGGTTGCAAGTCCCAGTCCGCCAGAACTTCATGCTTGCGCAGAGCTTCCTCAGTGACCTTCGTAGGGTTATAGGCCAGAAGCCCTCTTCGTAAGGGCAGAATAGTGGCGTCTATATGCATCGCATATGGGTCGTTGACATCCAGCATCTCGATGCAGTACCCGTTCGGTAGGTTTTCTCTAAGGTAGTCCACACCAGCCTGGTTGGTGACGTGACTATATTGCCCAATGATCGTGGCACCAAAACGCATGAAGTCTGCCGCGTCAAAGGCCGGGCGGCTGTTGTTGATGACCCACGGGCTTCCTGGGCTTCCACCGGGAGATAACAAAGTATCAGCGAAGGAGCTCTCCGGTCGCCGAACAACTTTTACCCTGCTGTCCTTGGATAGCTCATCCAAAATGGGGGCAAAGGCGATTTCAACCTCGCGGGCACGGCAAGGCCAGGCATAACACGATTCTATCAGGACATTCTTGACGCTGATAAGGGCATCTCGAGGCATGGCTCCCGTATAACCACCCTCAGCCAGCCAGTCGATTCCGCGTGGGGGTCTATAGACTTTGATCCCTTCACCTTCGAGGATAGCGGCTAATTGATCCAGCTCTGCTTCTGCTTTAGCGACGAGCTCTGGAGGGAATGGAGATTTTGGCTGGAAGCGATGGACATGAGCGACAGGCATTGTGGCTGCAATCATAGGGGCAGGGGCGCTTGGAAAACATGATTGACCAGCCCGGCCAACAATGACTGCCTTCAAAGGAGACCATTCATTGTCTGCGTAGACACGAGGAAGGAAAGTCATCTTGTAATAGTAAATGTGTGTTCTGGTGTTCTGGTGCTTTAGCCTTTACGCTGATATTTTTCCATTGAACCAATGCCAGAATCTCTTATCGTACTTATTACTTCCCCATGCCTTGCTTCGACTTCACTTGCCAGCGGCAGCAAGCGACAGGGATGGGGTTTTGCATATGGATGTGTAAACCTCGCCAAAGCCGCAGTTAGCGCTTTGAGGACTTAAAGCCCCATATGGGAGTTAAATGACAGTAATATATACCAAATTGCAGAGCTAAGAGCTTTAATTAAATTATACTTGTATTTACAGGTTACATGAGGAAGCAATATGGCGAGCTCTACGGAGTACCCTGTGTAATTCTGATGCATTTCAAATTGACGGTAGGACAGAAGTGACGTGGCCTGCACGATCCCTCACCACGATGTGGATCAGCTACTTTTCATACGCMGAAGGAGGTTCCTTATTCCCTGATTTTGGGCATTTGGTGACCTGACAGCACATTACTGTTGGGGTAGAAGTCCTAGAGGGCTGCATGCAACCTGCACCCTCGTCGGTCCGTGCCCTCGGCTAAGTTCTGGGGGCCTACAGAGGTGTTGACTTCGTCTGCACCGAGTAGCGTTACCAGGCCTAGCGCGTCGATCTCGAATCTTCGCATGATAATTGGTCATTCAAGTATGCTTGACATTCTGATCCGCGCCTTGGATGTCGACCACCCAAGCTACCCGTCACATTATATGCCATGCAGTTGTTCATCATCCGAGTCAGACATGGCCTCGCCGATTCCGATGTTGGCACCATCATTTCTGGCATCGTGGCGTTCAGTGTCGAACCCCGACCCTCCGGGGGACAGTACTTGCCAGTCGGATATTGACCTGAAGCCGCCAAATGCCCAATTTGATCAGGAAAAAGCGGCGGATTCGGAGGAACAAAACCGGGAACGGGAAGACATCATTTCCCCCAAATCCAGGAGTGTCGACACCCAGAGATATCCAGATGTTACTGTACTATCACCTTTCCTGATGCACTTAACCTCAAGGGGATTATCATAGCGGAGAATGTGGAAGATGCAGTTAAGACGTTCTTCCTTGCACGTCCCAGTGTCAAGCATCCTGAGGTCCAGGGATAACCATCGGAATATCTGGGATTAGCGACTGACGTCTCTCAGGCGATCTCAAAGTTCGGTTTTTCATCGAGTCCCACACGTGGTAGACTCGAGGCCAATCGATTACAACATCCCTGCACGCCCCACGTTTCCCAGCATACGGGAAGATGACGTCTATCAGGCTGAGTCTCGTACTGACACCCACATTATGAACGCCATCAAGTGAAATCGCGATATATAGAAAGTTATCAAAGGCACTAGGGTCTTCGAGAGCAATCTTAATCGGCGTCCGGCCGTTTCTAGTTACATCCGTCATCTGGAATCCCCGACTTAGCATCGTCTTGATAATCTCAACGCTGTTATTGTCATCGTCGAAACGTCGAGAAGCTGCCCAGTGTAAAGGCGTGAGATCCCCGTGAGACTTGAAGTAAGGCAGTTCGCTTCCGGCAGATTGCCATATCACTGACATGTTTCTCTTGTACGCTTCCACTTCTTCGGTGGCTGACAGAAGGAACTCAAACGTTTCGTAATCGACGATATGCGCCGCAAGGTGAACGGGAAGTGCTCCTCCGTTATTTGGCAGTGTTGGATCTGCTCCGTAGTCGATAAGCTGCTTGAACACCTCCAACGTCCCGAGGTGTGAATTCCAAGCTAAATGATGCAGCACGGTGTTCCCAATATTGTCCGCTTCGTTGAGGTCGAGTCCTCGCTCAATCAGTAATGTCGAGGTCTTCAGGAATCCATCTGGTCCAATCCTGGAGACGCCACCAAGACCACACATGCACGTGGTCAGGCGCTGAAGGATATTCAGCCCATGCAGATCCTTGATTTCGGTTGTCCAGCTATCCAGCAATTCATTCAGGACTTTCACGTCGTCATTTTGTGCCGCGACCGTTATAGACGCGAGAAATTCATCGAGGTCCACCACCGGGATCGTTTCACGAAAATAATTCACCAGTTCACTTCTTCCTGAGCTTGATGAAAGGTACAAGAGCCCAGGTGTTTTCTCGACGCTCAGTGCCTCTCTTCCGTATGCATCAACCAACGCCTGAATGAGAGATACATCACCATTCAGTGCGGCGTTTTGGAGGACAGTGGCAGACAAGTGCCTCTCGTAGCGGACCAGGGCCATCTTTTCTCCTTGGCGTTGAATGAAGTTGTGAAATAACTGCTTGTTTCCGAAACGAGCATAGAAAACCAAGGGAGTGCCCGCGTAGTACCTTGGAGAAAGGTCCTGTTCCTTATGTCTTAGAAATCTTTTGATTTCATCGGAAGGCGCAAATTCAAAGGACGGTAGCATTTCATACTGCCGGCCCCCGTTAGGTCGGTGGGCTAGGAATAGATGGAGTCGCCCCGTTCTATCGTCGGCGTAGAGATCAGAGATCTGAGCGAACTTTTCTACCACCGCGCCGCAGTCTCCAGTGTTATCGCCGGTCGAGCTATACATTTCCTTGACATGACTATCCCAGTATAGTCGCGCGTAGGCCAAGAGTTGATGTTTCCTCATGATTTTGTCAAGCTTACTACCTCGGTTATCCTCCCACGGGTACGGAGTTTCTTTCGTGATGAAGTCGGAACATTTAATCAGAATCTGAAGGCAGGACAGCGCGAGTGCTTTATGGCCCTCGCTGGGGGAATGGAGGATGCCGTTGTGCCATGAGCCCGTCCACGGCCACCGCTCGAGAAGGAATTTTCGCGCCGATGAATGGATGAATTGCACGGTATCATCAGACACTCGGATTCTTAAGATAGGACCAAGCAAGCGGAGATCATTTCGAAGGCCTCGGTGACGCAAGTATCCGTCCTGCTCGTGGCCTAGTGTGCGACGCTCCTCTGGATACTGGCAAAGACAAGCCAACTCGGATACGGTGAGCGGTCGATAAGCGTAGAGAAGGTTCGACAGAAGCCTGGACGGCTTCCTGAACATGGCGGACGACATGCGACGCAACTGAACTTCATATAATAAGTCGAGATCTTCGAGCTTGTTGGCAGACTCCTTCAGAATCGTCTCCAGATCACACACTGGTGATTCTTGAAGCTGAAGTAAGACTAATACAACTGGAAGAAAGGTACCACATTTTCTTTCCTTCAGATAGTCTTTTGTCTCAGCTATTTGACTAGCAGAGTAGCCGCGAAGTTCTCCGATTAGGTCCACTTCCTTATCAATGTGACGATCAATGTCGAGATTGACATTCCGGTCCTCGAGATGAAGGTCAAGGCATTCTATCTTGAGCGACTTCATCTTGGAGATCATTATTCGAACAGTTTCGAGGGGCTGGCTCGATATCAGCACCCGGAGATTGGATGGTATTGATGGGCTTGGCTTCAGCAGACCGAAAAGCTCCCTCTGCGTCTCCTCGTTGCACTCGTCAATGCCATCAATAAGAAGATAGACCTTCTTCAAGTTGGATTTGATACACAGGTTGCAAAAGTAGGTCCAAAGTAGGCGGGGAAAAAGATTCCAACATTCCTTCGATCTCAGCTCCTCTGACGCAAAGAGTTCGTAAGCACAGTCGATGGCCTCCAAGCCAAAGTCTTCTTTAGCGCGCGGTTCCAATAACTGGTGGATGGCCACACATAGAATCTTGCCAAGGTCGTTGTTCTCTCGATCGCACAAGCTGTAGAGTACGGCACTATCATTTGGTCGTCGTCTATTTTCTCCAAGCAAGGCGTGATATGACTGGGCAAAATTCACCACCAGAGACGTCTTGCCCATTCCGGGGCTTCCCGTAAGCCATACGACACTGTAAGACTTTTCGAGAAGCCATGTCTTGATGACTGGATTTTCGACAAGCCACTGACATGTACCCTCTTGTATATCACCTGCTGTTTGGTAAAACAATTTCTGGTAATCGTAAGGTTGGAATTTACTTGCAAAAGCCACGGGGTTCATCGTGACTGATTCGGGTACATTGGCAGGACCGCCTACTCCCCGGAATCTATCTTCTGAGATTCGTGAAAAGAGATTTGCGAGACCTGGCGGATGTGTTGACGCTCCTCCATTCTGGGCACTTTGAAGCACAAGCTGCTCTAGAGCTCTTGTTAGGGCACGACTGCTTCAGGCGCAGACCTTTCTGAAAGCTCACGAATTGTGTATAGGTCCCCCATATGCACATGGGGTCGATCATTTATGTGAATGCCCTGAAATGAGTGTCCCGACATGATGGCGTAAAGTCTCTGGTGGCTCGAATCAAAGCCGTGATTAAAAAAGGTAGTTTCGAGGAATGTCGTCGGCGAGGGACGTCGTAATTCTCTCAAGAACGGGAGAACCTTGCATTTCACGGGTCGGTTACAGCTCCATTTATTGCCAGCCAACGGCAGCAGACCTGGTAAGTTGGAACACTCAGCACCAATTTTTTCCTTGGATATGTCGTGCTAAGTTGCTAATGGCTGATTGGGAAAGATGTAAGGCTGGCTCCATCTAACTTTTTCCACGGCGCCCTGCAACATAATATCATTCGAAGACATGGACCTGGATAGTAGGGCTGGCCATGTGATGCTGGAATTCATAGGCCACATTGACCACGCTAAAATCACGGGGCCAGTCTGAAACAAAAGCCACAGCTCCTCGTATAATAGCCCATCAGTTAACTACATTGCCGTTGATTGGGGTCCGAGTGGACGCCACATTCTGCTGTGATACCCCGCTGAAATTGTAGATATCTAATAGAAACGATTGGATGACATACACCCGTATGATACATCGGCTCTTCGAACATGAGGGCGAGGCAGCTTGACAGAGGCAAGCCACGGTGTCAAGCACGGCAAACACGCTACCTTGGGCGGCTGAAGCGGGGTATGCGAGTCTGATGGACAAGATGTCGCTCCCATCTCCGTGCCTTTCAGTTGTCCTACTCTTGTTCCCTTTTCGCGTGCTATTCCCGTAAAGCATTCTGCTTTATCTCAACCGACTGGCCGTCCTTTACACAAAGTTTCCAACCGCTTCCACTTACTCCGGGTTCGGAGAGATGGAACCAGTCAGCTTCTCTCTCGCCGTCGCTGGCATTCCCGCGATTTTCGTCTCTTGCATTGATTGCTTTCGGTATGTGAGGCTAAGTCGAGCCTTTGGGGCAGACTTTGGATTCTGCCTGGCCAAACTCGAGGCGGCAGAGCTAGAGTTCACCAGATGGGGTGAGGCAATGGGCCTACTTCACAACCCATTCGACCCCGATGCCCTATTCAAAATGGGCCCTTGGAAAGAAGACGACGTCAAGAAAGCCATGAAATGGCTTGCCCTGATTGAGGATGCTTTCGAGGATGCAAGGAAGACTTCGGAGAAGTTCAAATTATCCCACGAAGATGACGATGAACCCGAGATCCTGGAGATCCCGGACGAAGCAGCCGAGCTCGAAAAATCACAACAGCCAGTGAAGAAGCTCATTCTTTCACTTCGACAAGTTAGCAAGCGTCGACAGAAGCTATCGAGTCTGGGGAGGAAGGCCCAGTGGGCCTTGTATCGCAAGACCGACTTCGAAAGCTTGATCGAGACAATATGCCGCCTTGTCGATAACCTGGTCAAGCTCTTCCCCGCTCTCCAGGACCAGCAGAAGCAGTTATGTAAGGAGGAGGTGCAGGTTGTCGAACCAGAGAGCATCCCGACGCTTGTCAAAATCCTCGGCGATAATGACAGGCTTCTTAATCTTGCCATCACGGAGGAGATCAGAGAGAAGGGCCACAAGTTTGAAGACGTGATCATCGATGGCAGTGGGTTTACGAGATTGGGCGACACCTACCAGAATATCGCGAACGCAAAGTCCACTCCGATGTCTGTTTCTAGGATGCGCGTCGCCGGATCAGGTGTCACACATATTGGACATCGATTCACAACTTCGACTCCTGATGAGGGTACTTCTTTTGTAGAGCACAAGAAGTCTTAGTGGATTAATATTGAACATCGGCAAATTATGTCTTCTACGAGTGCTCATTATTTCGGTTCCATGTTCCTTGACCATACCTAGTGGCCTCCATTGAGCTTGAGCCCCCTGAAGTTAGACGTGGTGACGGAGCTCGGTCCATTCCCCGTTACTCGTTAGGATGCTGACTACAGGCTCTAGCACAGGGCGGTCGATGCCAGAGAGGAACAGTCGCTCGCGCAACTACTTGAAGAGGAATTGTTAGCCACAGTAAGCCAACAGCGGTCGACGTAACGGAGTTGAATTTTCAGATGACTTTCCGGCAAAATTCCTTCAACAGAGTACCGTTTGGGGTAAGCGTATCGGGGGTGGCTGAGACGAAAGGAGATGGAAGATAGTGGATTCAATCAAACTCTACGGAGTAAATGGTCCGGCGAATCATATGTCGAAGCGATAAGCTGGATAGCTTGTCAATAATAGTGCTGCTTTATGTTTAGTCTTTATCGTAGTGTATACGAGCCGCTGTCGGCTTTTCCCTATCAGTCAATTTGAGCGAGCGGCTGGGGCCTAGACCGTTTTAGGAACTGTCAGCAGACTGGGGAACATGGAACCATTATAAGCACTCAGCCACATCCACAATAACGATAAATGGGAATTCTGAAAGACCCAAGGGGCCCAGTTCTTTTGTCTTCAGCTAGATCCGTTAACATGCCCGTTCAAACAAGTGTAAGTGCAGCAGCCAACAGCGCGCGCGGAGCCAAAGAGCAGATCCCAGTATGCCATGCCACCCACAGGGCCTGCGAAGATGCTAATGCAATAGCAACAGACCCTCTCTCGATGCGTCAATCCGGACGGAATCTCCTGGCGAGCCATCTGGTATTTCCCCACCAGCGCTGCCTCGTTCCCAATATGCTCCTATTGCTATGACCAACACATCCAATTCACTCCCCACGCAGGCCTTTTCGAGGCTGCCTGGGTAGACGGGAATCTCGGCCTAATGTGTCAATGGAATACTCCGCGGGTGATGTCGCATCTGGTCGCCAATGACTGGGACGCGATCAACGCCTTCATGGTTGAGCGGGTCAAAATCCCAGCCTGCAAAGGCCTAGCAGGTCACACCGGGCCTGATGGCTCCCGGTGGCATGGGATGACCGGCGAGTGGGAGATCCAGGGCTTTGTGATATGTGAAGCGTGCTATCACGATCTGGTGGCGTGGAGTCAGCTCAAGAGATACTTCACCACAACGCCGATGATCAAGTCGGACGAGGGAATGTGGACGTGCGATGCGGCGGTGCCGGTGATAAAGGAAGGACTCCGTCGGGCGACCACGTCACCCAACGGCTGGGATGACCTGCACCTCCTTTTCAGAAGACGGATGGAGTATCCCTCTTGTATGGAGATGAAGAATCTCCAGGCTGGCTCGACACATTGGTACGGTTCTAAGGCGGTCCCCGACCTGATCGTGTGCACGGCATGCTACCTGGACCACTTCGTGTTGGACCACGCCGAGTTGTGGGAGCTCCTCTCCCTCACAGCAGAGCAGCAACAGCAGCAACTCGATTGTGCGATGCAGACAGTTCAAATCTATTTCGCCTGGGTTTCCTGCAAACGAGTCAGCATCGCTAACAATACCGATGAGTATGACGGCTTCGAGGATCTGGCCAGAATAATCCTCAAGTCACCTCCCTGCAGTACAGATGACATGCGCAACACCACCTGGTACACCCCACAGGATTGCACCGGCGATGCATTCGCCATCTGCAAACGGTGCTTCCTAGCGTTCATGGTGGCTCCCGGGTTCGTCACGGAGTTCAAAGAGGTCAACTTCCGGCGTAATGGCAACTTGGTCTGCGACTTGAACCCTGCAACGCCACGATGCCTTAAGTATCTCGCAAAATACGAGGAGGCCGTGAAGCAAGAAAACTTCTCCATCTTCTCCGACTTTGTGTCGGAGTATGCAGCATTGCCCGATTGTCCCCGGGACAAACCCTACAAGAATCGCAAATGGTATGGAAAGGGCGGCTTTACTGCATGCGAATTCTGCTACAAGGAAGCCGTCGAGGGGGCGAGCCTAGCCAGTCGTCTCGACTGCGCCGTCGTCCCGAACGAAGCCCGATGCCAGATGTACTCTCCCCGAATGCGGAATCTTTGGCAACATGCTTGCGAGAATAACGACCTAGACTCCTTCCTGGTGCTTGCAAAGGAGCGCATGCATGTGTTTCTGTTGATGAACATGGAGAAGCAACGTGTTGAGTTCGGGCAGCTCATGCGCATGCAGCAGCGGCAGACCTTGATGCTGGCGTCCACAATCAATAAGGGGTCGGAGTCGTTTGCTTCGGTGGTCGGCAATAGTGGAGGTGCGATGTTTGGGAATGCGAGCATTGGGTTCAACTGGAATAGTGCGGCTGGGGCTGAGAGTCATCAACAGTTTCTGCAAGCAATGGGGATTAATGTGGTGCAGGCCGGGGATGGTGCGGCGTTGATGCCTTTGATGCAGAGGTGGGCGCAGTTGGAGTAGTCAGTACATATGAGGTGCAAAGAAGCTGGGTGTTGAACCCATCTCAGACAAACGAGTGTTTTCCTTTAGGATTGACCACCAGAAGGCTTCTGAGCATGAATGGGGATCTCTATGGAGCAAGATACAGTTCTTGTCTAGTATACGATGTAGAAATCAATAGACAGTCAGAGCGCAGGGCTAACCCCAGTGAGCTTGGACGACCACATCCAATAGTAATATACTACTAGAGAAGAGGAACACGGGCGTCGAAGCTTAGTGAAGCTGTTAGAAGAAGGGATTGGAAATATAGATCTTATACCATACCAGATGCTGTACCTATATCACCTGCAGTGAATTGGATCAAATGCCTCAGGCTTACCCAAAGACAGCAGGTTAACAAGTCCATGCTTCTCGAAACCCCAAGAGAACGCTGTCTTGCAAGAGAATTCTCTGCCGATTTTCTGGATCCAGATTCTATTGAGACATTGAGTTTAACAAGGAGGTACAGATCCTATGTTCATCATAGTGATCTTATTAACTAGGGCATGAGCTCCCATATCAAGTAAGGCCCAATGACACAACAGGCCTTCCAGATGATCATCGTCGCCGCGACTACTGCGTACGGTATCTTCCAGATGGGAGCCTCGGCCAAGACAAGCCAAACAGAATAGAATGCGACAGCAAAGAAATGATAAACAAGGATCCCCGGCGAGCGTATCAGACCCGCTAGCATGCCGCAGGGCTCTTCCTTGCACCGTCCTCCAATCTGAAAGTATCGAAAACACTCAGTTTTCAATGCAGCCAACGTGGTATCCTTGGCTGCAAACAGCGTATATAGTGCCATTGCAAGGATATTGATAAGCGAGGAGCTCCGCTTGCGGGCCCAGTGAAAGTGACCAATCTGCTCAAGCACTGCGTAGGAATCATCCAGTGAAGGCACAATCTCCGGAGCAAGCAGCTTGGAGATCAATAGCACGTCATTGAAGGCAACGGTCATGCCGCCGCCAGTCAGCGGATGCCTCATGTTCAACGCATCGCCGAGGAACAGCAGGCCAGGAACCTTCTGTTCCGACGGCGGAAGAAACGAATTGGGCATACTTCGGAACTTGCCCCTGGCTACGGCGTCGCGAAAGCTGTTCTGACAGCCGGGTCGAAGCCTCGGTAGAACTACGCTAAGCATGTGGGATTTGATGCCACCTGCGCCGGGACTTGCACTCGGTAAGCCGGTGGGAACGTCCATGAAGATTCGCGTTTGGCGAGGACTGATCTGATAGACAAGGATTGGAGGGGCATCGGAGAGAAACACGTGTCCGTAGTAAGGCTCCGGGAGCTTGGCATCGATCAATTCCAGAGCCCAGAATTTCGATTGGCTTGAATGTTTGTTGGGAAGGTATCCTTTCCGAAAGGTTGAGGCATAACCATCGCAGACAATAGTCAGGCTGCCGTAGTACTAGATCTCTCCTGTTAGGATGGCACAGTACCAGGGCATTTACAAACAAAATGCAAGAATGCAACTCACCTCCATAGCCTTCTTGCTATCCCCGCCACTGTAAGCTAGCACACCGATGACCTTGCCCGTGTCTCCATTACGAAGCAGGTCCGTGGCTTTAGCCTCTACTACAGTCACGTTTGGTGCGTTGGTTGCTGCTTGACGGAGGTTTTGAATGAAGCGACCGTGGTTAGAATGAGCAGCCTTCCGGACGCACCCCTGGTGCATTAGGGTCGTCGGGATACGGAATATTGACGGATTCGTTGAAATATGAGACTCGATAGCCACGGCATGGCACCGCGTCAATATTTTTCAGGCAGTCTATCAATGTTCGCTTATCTATCAGGCCAGATGATAGAGATACCGTAGAAGAGCAAACAATTGAGTCTCACCTCCCATGCCCAGTGAATTCAGGGCGCGCACTCCCCCCGGCTGCAGCAGTTCGCCCACGACGCCCTCGGGCTGCGCCAGACTCCTTTCCAACAACACCACCGTTCGTCCCTGCCTGCCAAATGCCACAGCAGTCGCGCATCCGGCTACTCCGCCGCCGACAATGACAATGTCTGATGTGTGGGCAGCCATAGTTGGACTTCTGTGTATGCAGTGAGTATTGACGGGGATTGCTGAGTCTTGACCTTGCTCCGTCAGGTCATGAAACCTGTGATTCAGACCGAGACTCCTGATATTGACGTATGAGGCATGTGAAAAGGAGGTTCGGCCCGTACCAAGAACAAAAACCAGGGGGGTGGTGAAGTGAGTGTGGCGCGGCAGTGGCAGGGATTATGCCTTAGCTGTTGTAATATAACACTATTGGACTAAAAAGGTGTTCAAGAGTCCAGACAAAGTACTCGCCAGTCTTGCATTTCATATCCACATATTCCAACAGTTACACATAACACACTACCACAAACTATGATGCACTGTCCTCAGCATGCTATGTGCAACATCAGACTTACAAGCATAACCAGATCCTCATGACGGAACATTTTGATTCCTATGGCACCCGAACCACCAATTTTTGCCCTCGAACCTGGCCTTGAATTTCATGAATACATGACAATATTATCTACTACTAACTTCTCTACTCCATCTTGCCGCCTTACCGTAAACTTAAGCTTAGTATGATCTTCATTTTAGTGCCAGACCCGTTGGKGCTTAACCTCCTTTCCTGTGATATATATATATGATGGGTACATTTGTCACAGGAGATGATTCCCGTCAATTGGCCGGTCTGTGCTTGGCCCTTTTTTCAGGATTCTACCAAGCTGTACCTAGTGGTACTGTCTTGCATTTCATTTCTGGCATTCGAGGTTGATATGGGACGATCACTGCTCACTTAAGTTCTACTCTAAGTTAAATACAGCGAGCGGACCATCATCCAGCGCAGTACGTCTAGAGGCCCTCCCAAGACTTTATTTCCCACATAACTGTTCCATCTTGTATAACTTGTATACGTCGACACACCACGTTGCAGTAGTACTTGCACTAGGTAGCAGCAGCATCTGCATCCAATCTACTCAACGTAAATCATCCGCTTTCTTCCAAGATCAGCCACCGAGGAGGGCTATGGGATCCCGTCCTCTTTCCTTCGCGTACTTTTCTTGCCAGGCCGCTTCTACATCGTTCCAATCTCGCTCTTCATTGGGCCTCAGTTGGTCGGGAAACAAGTCACGTAGCATATTTCGCCCTATACGATGGTACCTTCTCTCGACCTCAAGTAAGGTGGACAGTATTTTCGGCTCCCCGATAACGGATTCAAACTCCAGAGGAATCCCGTAATTCTCCGGCCTACGAGACCATCTAGACATATAGCTTTTGTGGATCATCCCGACAGATCCAATAGCTAGTAGAAACAACGAGTTCGTCTTGAGCGCAGACGCGGTTATGAGCAGCGAAACCCAAGAGACCGCCAGCAAAAACATTGCAACTGTTGTGCCAAGGCCCTGGATGTCTTCCATATCATTGCCCCCACCTACGGCCAGATCTTCCAGATTCAGCCCGTGGCCGTTTCCCAGAATGATGATCGCATGCTGATTTCCATACCCGCCTGTCAAGATATAACCGTCCTCGGAATCACGGCGGCAGGGCCACTTTTCGCGTGCCCATGCGGGAAGGGACCCGGTGATTAGTGACAGGATGATTCCGACCGCGGTGATCATGAGGATTCCCCAGTCACCGAAAAGACCACATGGGATGGCAGCAATGGACAGCTGCAGGATGAGAACAACGGCCCCACTCCAGTAAAGGCCGTCTCGCACAGGGATCCCCGGCGGCTGGGTTTCGCTGGGCTTGTATACACTCACAACCAGCCCCGCGAATTTCGGGCGACGAGCATCTGGGTTCCTCTGTCTCATCACGCTCCACTTATGGTCTATGAGAGTGTGGAGTTTGTTAGATGTTTGTCGATCCTTCCAGTATTCGAAATCCCGCATTATGCGGCCCAGGACCCAGCTGGTGTTGTCTCGCGTCACTCCGGTCCTGGCGTTGATGACCCGGCACTGCGTATCCGCATCCTGCACCATGAGGCGGTCCTGCCCAAGTGCTGAAATCGCATAGGTGACCCAACCTGTTTCATGAGTATCAACAAAAACCATCTATTGATTCCCAGAGGGGACATACCAAAGGAAAAAGCAACAGGTGTGAATCCACCGCCAGCCAACATCGCCAGGGCCCTCGCAACAACGTCACCACCCAAGATAAGCAAAATACTGAATACATCTGATGGTGTAGTCCACTGTGTTTTCAACTGGTCCGCAATAAGAGACGGGTTGAACATTGTGTTCCTACTGACCAGCGTTTCCAGAATCGGCGCCATGAGCCCGAAACAGGGAAATACATAGAAAAACAATGACTGCCCTCCCGGATGCCCGTGGCACATTTATTTTCCGTTCCCCAGGGCGCTTCCTTCCGTTCTGCGAGTGAGATGTCAGCCAGCGACTCGCGGTTCTACCACAGACCACTGGCAGGTTCATGTTGAGGGCGCTAAGCCCATGCAGTCAGCACCAGTCGCACCCCTGCTGACATGTCGGACGGAATCACTGGGCGGAACTCCTGTTGGTTCTCAGATGAGAGGATCACTTTGCAAGGATCGGCATCCCCGATCTTAGGGCGCTCTTAATCTAACCAAATCAGTTACTGCCAACTGGTAAGCAAGCAACTAATCATTTACTCTCCGGTCTTCCGAGGGGATACGGCCTTGGTGGTTGACCTACAGAGCCAGAACGGATCACTTATTTTAAAGCATCATACTCTTCGCTAATAGAGGCGCTGGCTTGCCCTGTCTTTAACTGGGCGAAGAAAAGAGAAGAAAATATACGAAATGATTCCTAACCGATCCGCCAACACCTCACATTTTTGAGACACCAAAGTAGCCTTGCATGACAACCAGTTGCGTCAGACTCACAATTATTGCATGATATCCGCAATCCCATGCAGAGTGACCTCGCTCTATATAGTGCTGAATCTGGTTAGATTATCTAAGGACAAGGTGTTAACACCAGAGGCTGTTCATCAATAGGTTGTATACACAAGCACACTGGTAGGGTACTCATGCGCCATGCATCTTCATAATCAGATTAGTGTTAATTGCGCAGTTCTGCTGAGGCTACATAGCTCAGTGTCTGCTTGCATTAATAAAGTCACTGGACTGACACTGAGCTACCCATACAAAATGCGACATTTTGAACCCGCGCATCTCTCCCTCATATTATATCCTACCTCCCAATGCTGGAGCTAGATTATGTAAGGAGGACTATGCATGTATAAGGTTAATAACACACCTCCCATGAGGATATTTGCCAATTAAAAATAGTGGTTCATATCTGGTTTCCCTAACCCTCTTTTGATTACTACATACTTGTACAAACTAAAGACCTCAGGGACGCCATTATGGATGATGTTGATTTCAAACTGGGCCACCTGGGGCACGCCACACATGTTTAGTGCATTGTTCACACAGAATCTCATGTCGCCACTATCACATTCAATGGACGACTAACCAAGTTCTGGGCGGCCGATGATTCCATTCCAGACAGACTCCTGAAAATGGCCATCATTGCGGAGGACCTCGCTGAAATTTTACGAGGCTTATTATTCCCTTGGGAGACACCATTAACAGTATTCCAGCAACACACCACTGCAGCCCCAACAGAATACACTGCCCTTGCCCAGGTCCGGGCGACTATAGAGCTGACACTCACTCTGCATAATTCAAAGCTTTGTGAAGAACATTAAACTGGCTCAGATATCCATGGAGGATTATTAGGCCTGATTCTGCATGCCGGGAGGGGGAGGCAAGGCTATATGGCCAGGCAGCAATGCAGTAGAACAGGAGAATAAGCGAAGCGGGCAATCACCCTAAGGAGCAATAAAATTTTGGCCTATTTTTGGGCCAGAATCAGTGTCAGAGTTTACTTGCGGAGCGGCCTGGAGTACCTCCATTGGCAGGTTTGAGTATATCAGGCGAAGATGATGGCATAACGAGCAGAGACAAGTATCACTCTTAAGAGGGCTTATAAAKACCCCCAGAGTCCTCCACAGATAATCCACAACTTCCACCAGCACTTTTGTTTAAACTTGATATCGCACTCGTATTGTGTCATCACACCGGTTACTTCAAAGAGGTTTGCTAGAGTTTGCTGAATCTATATAAAGGAGAATCTAACCTTGCATCTCTTCCAAGCACCATGGCCGCTTCCTTTGATCCTAACACCTGGTACCGGCTCACAAATGCCTATCTCGGCACCTCCACAGCCCTTGATGTGGAAAATGACGGTTCAGACAACAAAGAGGGGCTCTTAAAAATGGCACCTTCTGCAGATTACAGTGGCCAGTATTGGAAATTCCTTCCACAACCCTCCGGGACCTTCAAGCTCTACACAATGTTTCTCGGTGCAAACAGGGTTCTGGATGTGTATGGGGATGACAAAACAAAACCACACTTAGCAACAGAAGGGAATTACTCAGGGCAGCAGTGGACAGTGGAGAGCTGGGGTGATGGCACATGGAAATTAAGCAATGCATATTCAGGAGCAGAGCTGCATCTTGACACATATGCGGATACACACAAACCCTTCTTGGGCGATGGGAATCATACAGGGCAGCATTGGACAATCACTGCCATTGAGAAGAGCTCAGGTTAAAGCAATTAAAGAATGCTCTTTCATGTTCTAATGTATCCAATCACTGAACGACCACTACTATATTGCAGTACTAAAGCCCAATGTTTGAACCATTATGTATTGGCCATTCTAGGAGTATCCTGACTGGTTTTCGGTATACTATGACTTGAGGTTCTAGCCAGTCTATATATGATTATCAAGTTGAACTTCTTTCAGCCTGTTGTCTAGTTGCAAAATTTGGCATTCAAATGGGAAACCTAAGGATTTATGTGCCAGTGCCAGTTGGCAATCTGCGCCTTCCCTAACTCTTCTATTACAATGGAATCACTGAGATAGTCCATACGATACTATGGGCTATGCTGGCTAGGTAACCAAAGCGGTCACCGCCACCTGGTAAGCAAGCCACTAATCGTGTACACTCTCCGCCAACATCTCACATTTTTAAGACACCAAAGTAGCCTTGCATGACAACCAGTTGCGTCAGAGCTTGCAATCATTGCATGGTATCTCCAATCCCATGCAGAGAGACTTGCCTCTGTATGGCGCAGAATCTGGTCAATGTGTCTGAGGACAGGGTGATAACGACAGGGGCATTTCACCAATAGGTTGTATACATGAGCACACTGGCAGGGTACTCCTGCGCTACGCATGAGTAATGTCGTTTCAAACAAGAGCCAATCAGGGCGCCACGGAGAGGCGAGCCTTGGGCGGGGTATTTGGACAGTCAGACGTATAAGTACAGGTCTGGGCTAGGAAGAAGTTTCAATCATCTGATGAGTTCATATAACAGTGTACAGTATCACAGCACTCTTTCTAAATATCCCGGATCGATAACTCTGTTACACCACACTGCGCGACTCCAAGAATGGAAGACGGCGCACTCCTGTACGCCGCCCGGGACGGCAATGAAGGTGAGGTCCGGGAGTTGCTGAACAGCGGGGCTGACGTCCATCAACGAGACGAGGAAGGACGGACCCCCTTACTCCTAGCAGCAAGCCGGGGCCATCGAGAAGTAGTCCGAATCCTGCTCGAGGAAGATGCTGATATCGAGGCGGCAGACAACGCCGGAAATACAGCCTTGCTGTGGGCAACCAGAGGCCGACACACAAACGTCGTGCGCCTGTTGCTCCGGAAAGAAGCGGACATTGATGCCCCTGATGAGACTGGGGATACTGCTCTTCACGTCGCGACGAGAATGGGCGATGTCGCACTGGTAATGATGCTGATAAAATGGGGTGCGGATAGGGATGCGCTCAATGATGAAGGGAATACGCCATTCATGTTAGCCAAGGATGCGGGTTATTTCAAGTTGTTGAAGGAAGTAGAAAATGATTCATCGAATGAAGAGGATCTGTCTGAGGATGATCGGAGGGCTGACGCAGCGAAGAGGAAGCCTGATGAAAAACGGAAGGCTGCGGAAGCGAAAATTACGAGTCGCTGTCGTACTCTCGAGCTAGATGAGGGTAATTCTGGGACAGTTTTGGATATAGCATTCTCGCCAAATGGTAAAGAACTGGCATCCGCATCTGTGGCCGGTGTCATCAGGCTCTGGACACTCAAGAGGGACATCGACCGTACAATCGGAAAGTATCGGGGCAATGCAAATGCTGTTGCATTTTCACCCGATGGCAGACTGTTGGCAGCTGGAGGAGGGGGCCCCTATTATGTCGAAGACAAGGTCGTTAGAACCTGGGATCCTGTTTCTGGGGCTGTGCTCCGGACACTCGACAACTACGAGTGGGTGGGTGTCGATTATGTCCTGTCCCTGGCATTCTCATCGGACGGTCGAGTGTTAGCCACTGGGGGTAGTGGTGCGGTCAGGCTCTGGGAGCCTGCCACAGGAACCATCCGCCTCTTGCTCGGTACCTTCTTGGAGTGCAGGCACCTTGCTCTGTCACCGGATGGTGGGCTATTGGCAGCCACAAAGCAATTCTTGATTAAGCTCCTCAATACTAGCACAGGAATCGAGCAGCGCACTCTCGCGGGTCATCTGAAGAACGTTCACAGTGTGACATTCTCGCCGGACGGTAATTTATTGGCATCTGGATCTGATGATACAACCGTCATACTCTGGAACCCTGCTACGGGAGTACAGTGCCGCACGCTCGAGGGACATTCAGCGGAAGTTCGCTCGGTGGCATTCTCGCCAGATGGCAAACTATTGGCATCAGGGTCTTATGACAAAACAGTTAAACTCTGGGACCCTGCAACAGGAGAATTGCATCGCACCCTCAAAAACAATTCAACCGGCGTTCATTGTGTGTCGTTCTCGCTGGACGGTAAACTTTTGGCAACTGGGAATACGAATGGCATTATCGAGATTTGGGAGCTCTAGCACGAATGCAACTTCCCTTGTAGGCAACGGGCCACGGTGTCCAATATAAACTCCCATACGAAGTTGCTGAAAACCCTGTTTCCCACAACACGCAACCAATTGAGCATCCTCTCATACAATTTGCATGTAACCGGGTTTAGCTCAGCCAATCACTTGCTAGATTGCCTTCCTTGCTTTGAATTCAGGTCAAAAAACACCACCAGGACGGCCTAGGTTTCACACGGGGGATTGCTTACAGGCGGGTTGCTCATAGAGGGTTTTACTGTAAAGGTAGACAAAAGGTAGACGGGAATAGGTCCGAATGGCCGTCGCTTCTGATCGTAGCCATTTTTGTTACGGTGGGAATGGGCGACGAAAGCATATCACAGCATTATGGGGTTACGCGCTGATGTGGATGCTATTCTCCGCCCTGTAGGTATACCTATTTCTGCAGTTTGGAGCATCTCTGTTTTTGAAGTGAGATACACTTGTAAAGTTTCGATATGACTAAGAATCTATATGCAAGTCCAAAATCGTGGCTACAGGTCAGCCGACCTTTTGAAAAGTGCAGGTAAATACAGGATACAGTTCAACCGACCCTTCGGAAAAGTTCGGCTGGTGCCAAGATAGGTCAGAAACACCAAAAATCATGTAACCGGGAATATTTATAAAGGTCGGCTAAGCTTAATACAATACCATACTATTTTTTGATACTACTTAGTACTTACCTTTAGGGGGGATTTAATTAGAACTAGTTACTTCTTTAAGACTCTAATTAATTTTCTAACTAGTTTGGAACTAATAAGAATCCTATCTACTTTATACCTTTAGCTATTTAAGATAGACTGATGAAGATATTAAGATAATAATATTCTTAACTAGTTAATAACTAGTTAAAAAGATAGGTAAAAGGTCAAAAAATATTASAGAACGTGTATTTATCTATTATCAGGTGTAGGTTGGCTGACCCACTTAATATTTTATCCGAACTTTGCCAAAGGGTCGACTGACCTGTGTCCTGTCTGATTCTTTAAGTAAATCACAAGGGCGGCTCCCATGTGGACAGCAAAATCCGCTTAGTCAGTCGACCTGATCCTTCAGCTGCAAGCCTGCAAGTTCCATCCCTCACTGTAAGAAGTAGATAGGCCCAAGTCGTTTTGAAGCATTGGACTGGACAGCGGTGGAATTTCGGCAAAAATCAGGTACCACAATCTAAGCCCGGGCCACGTTGTTGCCCAAATGCGCCAGACGGACGAATCAGGGCTGCTGCCGGTGCCACTAAAAGTCAATCAACCGCTATGGATCGCGAGGATCAGGCACCAGGCCATGAGTGGCCAAATAGTGTCTGCGGATCTGATAAGTAGGTAGGACCTACTCGTCACAGGTAGTACAGTCGTTTGTTTGAAAGCTGGGTGTCTTCTATGGCGCCTAGATTTAGCAGGATGTATGCTACATTAGAGTCGGCACCGATACTACCTAACCACAGAGTACAGTGGACTGCATGGACACATTCTGTCAATGATGTAATGAGAATATAGATATTACAATTTCTACATTTCAGGGATAGGATAATCCCTCTAACTTCTTGCCAAGCCGCTCAGCCACTCAGGTAATCTCAGCTTGTAAGAAGCATATAGCAAAAGAAGAAAGAAAATATGCAAAAATCACCATATCTATGAGACAAAGCTAGAGTCTCTTACAAGCAAGAAACAAAGATGCAGAAAGTAACCTACAACCAGACCCCCACATCACAGTTGCCAAGGGTATAGTCCATCACTTAACCTGTTCTTGGTCCAGCCTCACAGGCCAGGGAAACCAGCACGCAAGTTGGCATACTTGCTGGTGGGATAGTTGAGGTTGTTCTTTCTCTTCTCCAGCCCGTCGGCACCGCCAAACGCGTCGATAGTCGTGGTGATCAGACTCTTGGTGTCGTTGCGATCCATGCTGACCTCCCACCAACTAGCACCACCCAGACCAAGGCCATTGACGTACTCGGCCTTGATTCTGGCAATCTCGGGGGTGTCGTAGGAGATCATGTACTTCCGGGCCGCGTCGTAGCTGTAGCTGGCGCCGATCGAGGGCAGCTCGACGACACTAGCATTGAAACCGGGCACGGGGAGCGCCTTGTAGTCCCAGACACCGGCGGTGCCGAAGCTGCCTAGGGTGCCGACATCAGTGAAGTTGGTACCAGGGCCAGCAGTCTGGTTGAAGGAGCGACCGTAGAGGGGAGACTGAAGCAGGATCTTGGAAGCGGGGGCTCCGCTCGAGATGTAGTACAGGATGCCGGAGTTCGTTTCAAAGTCGGTCGACTTGGGGTTAAATATGTCGGAGAAGATGTTGGCCTGGTGTCCGGAGTAGTTGCTGAATCCACCCATGTAGTCAAGGGCCATGAAGCTGTAGAAGTCGACGTAGGGAGTCATCTTGGCGAGGTCAAGCTGCTTGTACTTGTCTGGTCCGGCAGGACTGGCGTACGAAATGATGAACGGCGAGGTGGCGTTCAGCTTCTTGGCAAGGCCGTCGAAGCCGTGGCGCAGATCCTTGAGCAGACTGACCATCTGGGCGGCTTGTTCGGCACCGTCGACGTATTCGTAATCAATATCAAGGCCGTCAAACCCCAGGTCGGACACCAGTTGCATTGCAGAGTCCACGAATTTGCGGCGCTTGGCCTCGGACGCCAGCATGGGGGCAAAATTCATCCGGTAGGACCATCCGCCCACGGAGAGGATAGTCTTGAGGTTGCGGTGGGCCTTCTTGAGAAGGTAGAGCTGCTTGATGTTTCCGTAGACGTTGGTGCCGGAGGCGGAGGTATCGTCGCCGGGATAGGCATACTGCAGATCGGCCCATTCATCGCTCAACATACTGAGAATGGAGTCAGCATTTGTAGCCCATTCCCTCGAGCTAATATGCAGCCTCCTAGGGACCTAGTATTACTCACATTGAACCAGTGGTGGTGTTGACATTGGCAAAAGCGTAGGAGAGATGAGTCAATTTATCGGCGGGGATGTCGGTTACCATGAAGCTGCGGGCATAGATGTCCTAACATCCGATCGACTTAGCCATTGATTGTCCATTGATTTTACTTGTATAGAAAAGCACTCTACCCACCCAGTTTCCATAGTAGGCCAAGGATTTCTTTCCAGCAACATCAGGGCCGCACGATGGTGGTTGAACCTTCTTGTCTCCATTCTTGCCGTCATACTTAGGGTGGGGGGAGGACAGGGCTCCTGTGAAAAGAAGGGTAGTAACGAGTGTAGCCAACAATGACAGACGCATTGTTACGGAGTAAGAAATGACAGGTGTCTATGTAATGACTGTAAAAGAAAGACTGAAAATGAAAAAGGTCTCGAAAGAGTGTAGGAGAACTGTTTGCCAGAACACTGATGGCCTGGCAGAATGCACCAGACATCCCAGCCTTTATATCAACATCTATCTGTGAGCGCTCCAAATCTCGAAACCGTACCCTCTTCAACAGGTTTAAGACATCGTAAATGAAAGCGATCAATTAGACTTTGGGGGATAAACGGACAGGGCAAATTAGCGGACGATCATCTTCCTGAGCATTTTCCGGAGTGTTCCGGGTCCAACAACCAAGGCTGGCTGGTCATGAAGGATTCCTCTAGGATCCAGATCCCAGCCGGATTCGTCAGGGGTAATCCTTTCAGCAGACGCAATAGCATTCCGTGGCTGACTGGCGATAGTACGATCCTCTTGCTGGCAAAGTGCTTGTAAATGTCGCGGGTTTAATTTCCACGTGGCTTGATCTACATCCTTGGTGTGGCTGCCCAGTAGTGATACTATGACCAGTTGTCTTTCCACGGCCTTTTGTCGAGCCCATCAACTGGGAACTTTGGGGATGTCTCAGATCCAGATGGATTTGTGAGGAGTTAGTGGTCTTTTATCCGAGAATTTTCCTGGATCGGGGAAATAAGAGTAGTTAGCCTATACGACGGAGGATCGCGCCTGGGACCCTTGGTGAAAAGTCCAACCCGTTTACTCAGTACTTCGCGAAGACAGTTATTTTGACAAACAGTTCTCTGTGTATTTCTGTTAAAGCTTGTCAGCATCTAAGATAGGTTATGAGGTTATGCTAGTCTGCGCTGAAGTGCAGTATCTCTTCATTCTGGAGAACGCAAAAAACCGGAGCAAGTTCGTAATTAAGCTTACATTAAGGGGGCCGCAATTGACTGATTTCCTAAATGGTCAAAAGTGGGCCACAATTGTCCAGCTACTGTTAATATAGAATGGATCAGGATGCTGCATATATGATACGCACATGATCAAGAATCTAGGCCTCCCACTGACAAATATATGTTAGTATTAATAATACGTATGAACATGATACTGCCCAGAACTAAGCAGTTAACATGTAGCAGATCACCTTACCATCAGGCCACCAAAAGTAGCACGTCCCTGAACCGTTGATCTTCTGCAACCACATTCCGAGGGCCGCAGAACCACAGAAACTCTTGGCTCTATCTTCTATTCCCGCTGGGGTGGGGTTTTGTTTAAGTCCTCTTGTTTATATCCAAATCCAACAAGGTAATGTTGGTCCCTGACTCCCATTCCTGGCTACAGAAGGCTAAGGAGGGATTATCCAATATGTTCTTAGACATTCATAGGTCACTTTTCTTTAGTAGCGTCTAGTGGAACATGAGGCGGTAGGCGGTAAAAACGATGGAGAGATGTGACTGGAGAAGTCACAGAATGGTATGGATGTGTCTCATCCTATTGACTTATAAAACTCAAATTCAACAGTATATAACTCACCATTTGAGTGTCCTATGGTGTCTTAAGACAGAATCCTGGGTTAACAATGACATTAAGACTTCCTGCCTGACTCTCATCATCTAGAATTATGTGTATGGATGCCTTGTCAGGCTACTGTTACAGAAGAAAAACTACTCATCCTGCTTATTGACGATTACAAGTTTGCAGCAAACATTGCTTCCAACTCCTCTTCACCATGATCCCCAGACCCAAAAGTCTCGTTGTTCACATCCTTATACTCGGGACGGACATTTTCCGCCGAAGACAGCGGCCTTGAGTAACCCCAGTACCAGAGGCGGCATTTCCACCCTCTCCTCTGAAATTTGATTAATCCAGATGATTCCTACTACATCTTTCATCCGTCCGCATCTTCCTTGACCATCATTTCTTGTCTGTCCGAGTGTGGACGATACTCCGTGATGTGCATGTCCTTTGGTCGTAGAACAAGCTGAAGTTCTGATTGTTCAGATGCCAGCAATTGATCCTTGCCACCCCAAGCAATTGAAGCCCTCGGTACAAAAACCTCCTCTAGCGCATCCTCATAGACAGATTCCGAATCGTCGATAGTCACCAAGCTGACAGGGTCAAGATCGGATACTTCAGGAATACCATGAGTCTTTAATATACCATCCACGGTCCCAAATGCTACAACAAGAACTGTAGCGAATATCCCATGGGCAGCGGGATCTTTGATTTCCAGGGAAGTTATTAATGACTCCGGCAGTTGCGTCGCGTAGCATATAAGTCTTTCATTTTCATCAGGAGGGACGAAGATGCTCAATTTGCCGTTCAGATATTCCATATGTAGTCTGCTGTATGTTTCCAAACTTGTGCTGGAGCCGGACAGCGAAGTCAAGGTACATTTTCCGACGATATGCGCAGTTTCGTATACTACTGCCTTTCGAAAAGTTTCGTATAATTCGCGAGCAGCATTTACATTTCCGCCGTTGAAGTGGGCGACGCATCTGAAAAGGTTTAGCCGTAAGTCTCACAAAATCAATTACGTGGAGGAACGCACCTAGACAAATATGATGATCTTTGAGAGAAGTCAGTCGTCAGATGCTCTGAGGACTGCGAAGGAAACTTTGAGATGCTGGTTTCCCTCGCTGCGCAAATGGAAATGAAGCGGTTTTCTAGCCCCAGAGATTTCAAGAGTGGAGCTAATTGACGGACTTTTGTCAGGCTAAACTGAACAGTTGGCACCTTTCCATAGAATAGCATAGGCCAGCCATCCCTATCAATGATAAAGAAATCGGATGTTACGGATCCCCAGTAGAATCTTTTCTCAACTCCCTCGATTGGCAGGAAATCGATAAGCTTGAGGCAATTCAAGTCAGACATCGTTGGTTTGAGGTTGTTGATATAGCACAGAGCCTCAATAACCTCAGTGTCACTTCCTTTCTCTTCGCGAAGAAGCTGAATACGGCTGATATAAGAATGTATGGAAGGTGGCCGGACCCGGAGCCTCTCAACAAAGAAGCTCTCCATACCCGGATAGACACCACTTATCCCCATTTTGTCCGCGGTTGAAAATAATGCCCAGATGCACTGTTGAGGTGCATACCACCGCTTTGAGCCTGGTACATATATCATCTTGCTTAGATGAAATTGATTCCTAATTATTGAGCCACTGTCAGAGTGCGTTTAGGCACCGGCCTGGAGTCTAGACTCACCGCAGACTGTTCCAATCCTCCCCATCTTCTATATCCTCCACGATAGCCTGGTATATCCTTTGCGTCTCTTCTAGCAAGCCTACCCCGACATCCTGTAAGTGCAATAATTCGGTCATATAGGTTCCCCAGTCCGCGTCCTTCACATCGAGTGTGTCTAGGAATAGGCGTCGTATTTTCGAGTCGCTCGCATATTCCTCATGGAACGCAAGAGCGTGCGCAGTCCGCAACCACAAGGGGCCATGCCAAACGCATTGATCGAGACACACTAACTTTGCACCGTCACCGCTATTCGGAATATAGACGGTCCTCTCGTCATCGAAAAATCCCCAGTGTACGTCAGAACAACACGGGTCATCGTCAAATAATCTCTCAGATATCCATCTGTATAATTCGAAAAAATGCGGTTTGGCATCCTCTGTTGTCATGGTGGATAACAAGCGATCTTTAACGACCTTTATAAATGTCGCCGCTCCACCACTGGACACACCAAGCTCTCGGAGAAATCCCCGTTCCTGCTCACTGTCCGGACCCCAGATCCCCGGTAATTTGAGAAAGTTGATGTTCAATGTGGTGGACATGGCCTCAACCAGGTTACAAAACTCTGGGATGGGAAAGTAGCATTCATCAAGCCTCGCCAGTCCATTTGACGTTGGTACTTTCGCTCCCTTGATAGCGGATGCAATGAGCGGTTCTCCTCTTATCTCTATTCCGTATGTGTCCCAATATCTTCCCAAGATACCAAGAAGAATGTCTGGATGGTGGGATATTATTGTGTTGAATATCTCAGAGAGTTGTTTACGGTTGTTCCAGTGTGTCAACCGGGGAACTCGCCGTATTATCCGTTGCTGTTCCAGCCATATTCTCCACGCATCATCGGCTATGTGCGTTTTGCTTATGTTATTTGGATAGAGAAAGGCAGGGTGCAACAGAAGAATGCGTGGGCTGAGTAAAGATTCCGAGTCCAATGTTTTTGCAATAGCTTCCGTTCCGTAGGCACCATCCGTTCTGAAGTATACATCGGAGGGAATATACCTCGGGCAGGAGTTCCCGCATACCAGTCTCCTCAGACGCTGCTCATCAAAAATCATAAGGCAAGGCGTCTTCAGGTGATCATCTTTGGCGCAGCTCTCATAGACGTAGCATAGAATATGCACAAAGTCAGCTATAAGGTTCATAACGGTCGTCAGCACACGGGAGGTGGAATGGCTGTGGTCGCTGATTAGCCTCATGACCAGTTCAGGACTTGCATGTCGAACCCCAAGGAGACAAAATAGTTCTTTTTGGTCGTTGTCCCTAATTGCTTCCTCTGAAACAGTCAAAATATCAAGACATTGCGGAATGTCATTGCCGTTGGTGTCTTTCGGAAAGTAGACGGCATCGTTTGCAAAAGCCAAATCGGCTTCAGATCTTGTCAAATTTAGGTCGTTCCCTCGAACGAAAGAGCCGTTGCTCAATTCAATAAGCGGAATGTTCCTTATCTCAGTTGCCAAAGTGTTATTGGGATCGCTCTTTAGCCACGCTATTAGCAGTCGTAGGACAAGCGACACCCGTTCCTTCCATAAGTTGGAACTTGGCAGCACGCGCAAAGGTTTTGTCAGGACCGGTTTGAGTCTTTCCAGGAGTTCATGGTCCGAGATTTCTTGGAGGCCTAGAGGCTTCAAAAGATCGAGGTAGGCACTGTACTTTGTAGAGAGGTAATGTTCATCGTCCCAAGATCCGAACAAGGGCTCGTTATCTGCGCCATAATGCCCCGGGGACAAGTACCGAAGTGAAGACAGGCTTTTTAGAACACCGTTCTGACTCTGGAAAACGGGGGCCACTCGGAGGTTTTCAATTAACACTTGAACTGTTTTATGCCAAGCCGGTGAGGCACTGCTCTGTTTGGGAATGTACTGGACCCATTCATAAAACAAGGAGTGATTTTGACAGAAGGAAACGGCACCACAAAAGGAATTGATGACACAATCCTTTAACAACGCAGAAGTGTCGATGTCGGCATCTCTCACCGGGACGAACTTCGTCACAGTCACACATACAACAAACTATAAAGTTAGCAGCCTACTTGGAGATGGCATCAATTGAACCGCATACACTGAATTCCTCTCCTCTAATAGGAAAAGCGAATGAACCAACAATATGGTAAGCCTTCCGAGATCGTATGGCGGGCCTTGAGTTTTGATCGATAGGAAACAATAGCGCCATCTTATCGAACAACAACGACGAAATAGTTGGCTTGTATAGGAGGAAGCGCTCCGTAAATGATTGTAAAGAGTTAAAAAGACCAGGATATGTTTTGGTGACCTCCAGAATGCCGTCTCGCACTTGGAATTCGTATGTTAGACCTGTTATTTGGAAGTTTTCCAGACTGACAATGAAAACAAATTTCTTGCACACAGGTTGGCGAGTGTCGTCAGGATCGACCAGCACGAAACCGTTGTTTGCAATATCCTTAAACTCATTCACCAATTTATCAAATCCCTTAGGCAGAGCAGGGTACAAAATTATCCTGGTGCGCACTCCTCCGGGCAAGGATGCCGGGTCTTTGTTTACCGGGGTTGTAAATCCAAGTCTGTCATCGAGACTTTGAGGCGCAAGGGCGAAGGAAAACGGACCTGACTGTATATGGGCTGTCCTGGCAATTCTAAATGTATACGGAAGAATTGTGTCATACAGGTTGCTGGTTCGGGCATTTTGGAGGAAAGGAGCACCGCCCTCAGAAAGCCGCACGATGTCGCTTTTCAGGCACCCATCGTCATTGGTGTCGATAATCATACGGTCCGGAGACACATCTAAGGCAAAGTAGGGTTCTTTTCCTTGCTTCTTTGCCCAATTGTAGTGCAACGAGCGGGCGCTGGAGATCAACTGAAACACAACATCCCTTCTAACATCTGGTGTGTCGCATGGCGTCCATGGGTGCCGACGACTTCCAAGCTGATTGCGAACACTCTGCAGCGCTTTTATAACGGCAGGCGGCGTTGCGGCTCGATCTTCATCAGTGATGATACCATTCCTTTGGCTAATCTCATCCACGATTTGTCGAGCTTGCTCACAGGTAAGCTCTGCCATCTTTTTCAAGCTGAACAAGCTCTGTGAAACCTTGCTGTGCGAGGTGGAAAAGAGAACAAATATGCGAAAGAAGAAATGCTCTCGGGGATTCTCAGTGAGCGCCTCTGAAGAGCCCCGAACCCCTGCGCCTAGTTGTTTGACATTATTCCCTTTTTGTATTGCGGCGATTAATTTGATAATAGAATCCAAGAGGCTGGTTTCTCATACACTTGCAGGGGTCAGCTCGCTACATTAGAGTGAAAAGTACTTAGGACACTTGAAACGAGCTGAGCGTACTGTATTTGACTGCTGATTTAATGGAGTTCAATCTGCCAGATCAAAAAAATAGTATATAGGTCGGTACGGTCCGCGCTTTGGGACTGTGGTACTATTCTCCAAATAGTGGGTAAAATATAGAGTAAAATGACTTCATTGGGCAGTGAACTGCAGTAACTAAGATACAGTAATTATTTCTGAGATAGAAAAAGATGAGGTCCGAAGCCACTATACCCTCAACCAGATTAGGGCCAGGTGATGTTCACATGACCTATCTGCAGGTGGCTCCTACTATGGTCAGCTCTTGTGTAGTCACAACGCTGTTCTTTTATCAGTATATATTCCATCTGTTTCATTAGAAATCATTATGGCTTCCTCAGGAATGTACAATATATCTAACTCTCTATGAACGACAAAATAAAAACATCTGTGAGGGCAGGCTGCAGGGTAAAGGCTTCCCACCACTATGCAGTATCTGCACCACTTGCTTTACTCCCATCCTTTTCCTGCTAAAAGTTAAAGGGCATCATATCTCCTCTACTAATATGATAATATCCAATGCCTTTGAGACTTGCTCAAATGTATTATACCACTATAATCATGGATATGTAATCCCTAGACTAAAGAGTACACTCTCTCAACGCACTTTTAACCTTGTAGTATTAAAGTTCCTTACAGCTGATCAGACTGGGGGCCAAGCCGCAAATATGGTTTCCAGCACATCACTCAAATCTGAGCATTCTTTCTTCAGCACATGCGTCTATACCCTTCAGTGCTGTCTTGACAGTCCATGAGAAATTCACACAGCAGTTACGCTGTTTTAAATTTGCACAGAATGGGAAAGAGGCTGTAGCTCATTTCACTATTGCCAACACCACCCCATCTAAGGTAGGGCCCTTATTATTTGCGGCGTCGAAGACGGAAGAAAGATATTATATATACGCGTTAAATATTCATTGTAGTCAATGCTTATAAATCGATGAGAAATGGTGCTATGTTGGCTCACCGGCCGTTCCCATACAGCTACACATGTTCTCCGCGGTATCATATGCATCCATACACCAATTAGTCATATATTTATTCAGCTATATATGATAGTTAAGCATTTTGACACGACCATATCCTACCAGGTAATATACGGTAGTAGTTCCCACTTTTACTCTGTCGTCGTTTATCCTGGTGGGGTCTTCAGCTAACCGTCGAGACCTCCACCTTGAGAAACCGACCCGAAATCCGAATGATCAAGCCTTAGACTAGCAAGTCCCAGCTACGGGTCCACTAAGCTATTCCTTCCGGGGAGCGCAACTAGACAATGTGCTTGGGCTAATCCCATATCACTAACAAACAACCATAGCTTTAATTATAAATACAGAGTACAGCCAGCTGCATGGGGTGGGTGAGTAGTTAGTTAAGCCTAAGGGCCTGACAAATCCGATGACAAATCCGCCCCAGCAAATAAGCAATTACACCTCGTCACCACATGTCTGAACTCGATATATAATGCGTCATCTGGATTCATGTCATCTGTCCACTGCACTTCCGTTGCAAAATTCGATCAGGCCATCAGCCTTCAAAATACTTTCTTTGTGGCGCTTGTCCTCCATGTAAAGTAGAACAATAATGTCTACTACTCTCCTCAAGAAACAGAACCTTCCTGCCTTCAAGACTAATGTCTTCTATCGAGAGGCTGGTGCGCAGTCTGCACCAGTAATTCTCCTTCTGCATGGCTTTCCCTCTTCTTCTCATCAATATCGCCACCTGATCCCTATTCTTGCGACCAACTACCGCGTGATCGCACCCGATCTTCCTGGCTTCGGCTTCACAACGGTTGCAGAAGGTTTCGAGTATACTTTCGATAACCTTGCGGACGTACTTTTGAAGTTTATCGACGCTCTATCTATCACAAAATATTCTATCTTCATCTTTGACTATGGGGCCCCTACTGGCCTTAGGCTTGCATTGAAGAGGCCAGAGGCGGTTCAAGCAATCATCTCTCAGAATGGCAATGCATATGAGGACGGCTTGGGCGAATTCTGGGACCAAATCCGGCCACTTTGGAACAGCGGCAATGATCCCAAGGTCCGATCTAAGCTAGCAGCCGGCCTGCTGAGCCTTGAAGCCACCAAGTGGCAGTACGAGGAAGGAACGCAGAAATCTCGGGTCGTGGCTCCAGAGTCCTATACGCTCGACCACGCACTGCTTCAGCGACCTGGAAATGCGGACATCCAGCTTGATTTATTTTGGGACTATCAGAATAATATCAAGCTTTATCCACAATTCCAGCAGTATTTCCGAGAGTCTCAGGTGCCGTTGCTGGCGGTCTGGGGTAAAAATGACCAGATCTTTATCCCTCCTGGGGCTGAGGCATTCAAGCGTGACTTGCCCAACGCAGAGGTACATTTCCTGGATGCTGGCCACTTCGCGGTTGAGACGGAGACGGCGGAAATTGGCGCCCTGATCCTGAAGTTTCTGGCCAAGAATGGAGTCTGATCGCCGCTGCTGCCATCAATACGATACTACACTCCAGATAACTTTCTGTTCTTTGGTCACCGTCCTTGGTGATAGTTGTCTGTACGGAGGACGATAATGCAAGGGGGTTTCTCTTGCAGTTTTGTTGGGTCATTAGTGGACAATATTCTCGTCTTGGGAATCTACTGTTCTTTCCATCCCCGCTACATATTATGATATGAGGTGGTCGAAAGTCCTGATGCAGCCCAGTCCCAAAAAGATTTCATAATATCTTCCGAGGGAGGTGTACCTGGTTGATATGCTTGGATAGTTGTCTTTGATGGCCAACGGAAGATGTGGACAGATCCATGGAATCCAAACCATGTTTTTACTACATTTATTAGTGAAGTTGGTCTAAGCAGCGGTGTAGTGTAACCGTGGGGACGTGGATGCCTTCTTCCCTTGTATCACTCCAGATTTGACTCAAATGTAACAACCTCCCTGCTGGGAAATATTGAATTTACTGTGATAGTTGATTTGTAAACAAGATGTTCTTCACAATGCAGATGTGATAGACATGAACATGGATGTCCGAAAGAGGGGACGAGTTAGGCAGATATGAGTGTCTGGTTGTACCACTAGACATGTAGAAACTTTGGAATTGACAGGAAATGAAACTGCATAAAACAGAGAGAAATTAACAAGTCTTGGGGCCTTTTGTTTCTACTAGAGAACCACTGGCTGCTCCAGGTATAGTTAGTTGTGAGTTCATTAGTCAGATATTTTGAAGCAAGAACTGATCCATAACTGGTCAATTCGGATGCAGAAAGCGGCACAAATGAGTACCTCAATAGAGAAGACCATTTTAAATAACAGAAGACCAGCTCCATAGATTCTTGTCTGCTTTCTGTTCCGATAGCAGAGAGCTTCCTCCGCTTGTTCATCGCCTTATATACTTTCACCTAGTTCCATATCACCTGCCTGGCATCGGACACCCGCGAGGCGTACGAAGGATATCAGTAGTCTTTCAGCTCACTCCATGAGCCGATTCCAAACAAATTCTGTAGACACTTAGGTCCGCTGACAAAGCACGATCGTAAATCGATGCCAGTTAGTGTACCCTGCTCCTACTGTGCATCTTTTGAAGTATCGCGCTTGGTCAATTACTGTGGTCTAGAAGGCTACAGAGACGATGCAGGACTTGTATTAGAAAGTCTTAATAATGTACCTATCATCTGACAAGAAATCCAAGGCTTAAGTAATCTCAGTAAGTCAAGAAAGACGCTAACAATGGTGCCCTTCACAGGAGTATGTGGGATGTTAGAATTGATTTATCATTTGGTGGGAAGCTTCCGCTGCGGAAGTCCAAGTTCCGCAGCACAAATCGGAAGCTTAAGTCAGCCCCTCAAGAGAACAGCAATCTGGGTATCATATATATACCACACGTCGACTGAGTATCCTATCTCTTTATTTTTTGCACTTCACCCTTGAGACATCAACTCTCATGCTGCATCTGCTACGGAGAAAGACAATGGCCTACAATACAACTCTCGGTAACTGGTTGGAGGATCTTTTCCGGAAGATGTTTTACCAACCAGATGACGGAATAAGTCAGAATGCAATGGACGAAGGCATCAGTCCCGCATTGAAGATTTCGTAAGTCCTTCCATCTCCAATCTCACCAGCTACAACAGTGGTCTAATGGCCAGCCCTAAAACAGGATCAACGGCAAGGACGTGCCCGCCGACACGTATAAGCAATTGATCATGGACACACGTCGCACGCACCGAATGGCAGTCAAAAGCAGTCGCGAGCTGCTGGCCTCATCGGCCGCGGTGGATACCGAGATCGGCTCGGTCGCACACATCCAGACTTTCACGTTGGAAGAGAAGAAGACGGGGGCGAAAAGAGAACAGACAAGCTTGACGATTTGTGTGGTTGCTTCGACGGGCGGCAAAAAGCAATTGGTGGAAATGGCGGAGGTCATGTCTGATTGTTGAAGCTGGGTCGGATTTCAGGCCATGTTATTAGGAACCAAGATCAGGAAGTAGGAGGCCGAATCGACCGAGTGCCTCCTTTCCCGCCCATTCACGGCAATAGTCCAGTCCCTTGATAAATACAAGCATGATCATTCCCAATTCTTCCAAATCCGTAGGTTGCGCGTTAGTAGTGTCAGCGTCCCACGATGGAAATCGTACGGGAAGCAATAATCGGTCCCGGAGGGCCGTCCGCCAGAAGTATCCTGATGGCGCATCCCACAGCGCTCGCTGTGCGTAAAACGAGAGGTCCGTAAAGTCATGATGGGAAGCATCCCAGCCATCCTTGAGGAAAGAGTAAAGCCCTTCGATCGTGAAACCGACGATAAGTGTTCGTCGGACACACTCGTCAAACACCCATCCCCACCATGGATCGTGCGTAGAGGTTGCGCTAACGACGTCTTTCAATGCACTGTCGACGGGCTTCGCACGATGTTTGAGCTGTCGAATCCATTGGTCCAAAAGAGGTCTTGCTGCTTCGGCTTCGGAGCGCAGCGAAACATCGCCGTCAAAGAGTTGAATGATCTGGTAGAGACATAGTACTTGTACTGAAGCCAGCTGTTCGATCGGTGACAGCGTGTCTAGCTTATGATGCTCGTTGACTAAGCGTCTCGCCGCTTGGCTGACGCAGCGAGCAACCAGACGTCCATTGCGATCATTCTGATGAGCGTGGAGTGAACACACGCCGAGAGCTTMCTGCATGACCGATGGTAGGCACTGTGCGTAGAGATGGGCGTGGATGAATGGGATATGGCCGCGTTCTGCGTAGAGACCAGGCCATGATTTCAGTGTCTTCACTGCGTAGATGATCCTTTCTTGGTAGATCTGCCCAGCTAGGACACTTCGCGTGGGGGCTGTGTTGTCCGCACCGATTTGGTCGGGGACCGCGAAGCTATCGATATTCGCCATGACGTCTGACCAGTCCAGGTCGTAGTCCGGGAAGCTAGGAAGCGCAGAATCATTGTCATCCGCGGCGTCGTACCCATTCATGCCATTCATTTGCTCGAGAAGATCCGGTCTTTCATCAGTGATCATCATAGCCAAAGGTTGGGTGGAAGCTGAAGGGGTCGTATCTCCATCCACTTCCGCCGGTGCTGCTGTTGCTATTCGCGGCTTTTCGTACGTACACCGCAGAGACCGCACTCGGCAGCGGTAACAAGGACTACTGAGGTCACATCTCCGTTTGGCTTTCACACAATTCTGACATGACTTTCGATAGGGCGAAGGCATTGCTTTCCCCAAATAAATGCTTTCAAGAAGCCAGGATACAGAGAATTATCGAAAGCACCTCAATGTACCAAATTGTGAAGGCGGTTCGTATTGGCTATCGAATCTGAGTCATCCCGCCAGGACATTAGTCAACTACGTTAACCTACCTTGGGAATCTTCGTAGTTCCCGCCTCAGGATACAGGTCAGCCAACCCTTTGGAAAAGTTCGGATAAACTAAAAGTAGTTTGGATACAGGACACAGGTCAGTCGACCCTTTGGCAAAGTTCGGATAAACTAAAAGTAGTTTGGATACAAGACGCAGGTCAGTCGACCCTTTGGCAAAGTTCGGATCAACTAAAAGTAGGTCGGATATACTATTAAGTGGGTCAGCCAACCTTTACCAGATAACAGATATATATAAGGTAGATTCTGTGATATTTTGACCTTTTACCGTAGGTAGTAAGTATTGTATTAAGCTTAGCTGACCTTTATAAGAATTCCTGGTCACATGATTTCAGGATACAGATGAGCCGACCCTTTGGAAAAGCAGGATACAGTTCAGCCGACCCTTCGGAAAAGTTCGGCTGGTGCCAAGATAGGTCAGAACATCAAATAAGAACCATAAAGTTAGTTGACAGTGACTACAGGTGACACCACCTTTTGAAAGAGTTCAGGTGAATGTGGCTGAGGTGAGACAGTGAATGAGACAACCCCTGATCACACATGTCTCCACCATAAAGGTCGACTGAGCTCCTTACAGTAACTTACCTTCTTACACATCTCCCCTCATCTCCCCCCCCCCCTTTTTTACATTTTTTTTTTGGTTCAAATCAACTAGTTGACAATTAGTTGTGGATTGATCATTACCCTCCCTACCTCTTTCTCTCACTCCCTCCTATTACCTTAAAGGTAGGTTTTCTACTTCAGAATACTTTCACCTTCATCTCACCTTCATCTCACAATTCCAACAACACACCTAGTTCCTAACTAGTTAGGAACTAGTTGGTGACTCTCACTATCACCTTACCTTTTATCTCACAATTCCGGTTGATAACTAGTTTATAACTAGTTAGAAACTAGTTCACATATCTGCTCCTTGTTCTTTCACTAACTAGTTTATAACTAGTTTATATTCACAATGACTTTCGTGAAATCAGTAAGTTCTACTCTAACTATTTAACTAGTTCTAAACTAGTTAGAATGCTAACCAAACTATAGGAGGCATATCTATAGTACCTTAAACTTAGTGCTAAGGGGCTAGCCCTCCCTCTATTTACTAAAAATATAAGTCATCCTGAGAAGTATCTAACTAGTTACCAACTAGTTACTAACTAGTTAACAGGCCAAGGGATACTTAGTAATCTACCCCAGAGAGGTCTATTGCAGAGCACCTGGTTGCCCCAAGGCCAAGGTATATATTTCTTCTACATTCCTGATGAACTAGTCCTAGACTAGTTACTAACTAGTTCTATTAGGAAGCATACTCCAGCCTCAATAATCTAAAGAAGCATATCCAGAGTGCACACAGCAAGAAATACACCATCGACACCACCAGTAGAGGGGCTCCAACTATAGAGGAGCAGCAGGAGGCTATCCATAAGTCCCTATTTAACTAGTTTATAACTAGTCACTAACTAGTTACAGAGTGGTACCAGAAGCTTCTTAAGGAGGAGGAGAAACCAGAGCTGCCTGCTCTCCCCTTAAAGAAAGATAGCACTATAAGTACCTCCTATCCCTAACCAGTTCAGGAGTAGTTGCTAACTAGTTAGGTTCACATCAAGAATATAAAAGCCATGTTAAAGGAGATGGGTGTGGGCATACCTTACAGCAAATGTAAGAAGCACAAGAAGAATCAAAGTAAGTTCTATTATTCTTATTAACTAGTTTATAACTAGTTACTAACTAGTTCTTAGCTTGTTGCAAACTAGTACTTACATCATGTAATGCTTTCTCAAAGGTTTCCCAGTTACAGCCATGACTTTTTATAACATAAGCATAGCCATGCTCATCAGACTTTGGATATTCTGGTAGATAATCACTATACTCAATAGATTAAGCAGTAATTCCAGGCTTTTCCCTTCCATGTGTAATAGGGATAATAGGTATTAGCTATCAACTAGTTAGTAACTAGTTATACTTAGGGTAGATATATATATTTATTCTCACCGCTTCTTCCACAACACCGGTCGCAATATTCCAATTATATAGAATATCTTCGTCTACCTCATTAGATAATTCATCTAATGATAATTCAGGCTCAGGAATATCTATAAGAGGTGATAAATTAAGAAGATTATTAATTAATGTTGAATCATTCTCCAGGTAATCAAAGGTATTGAGCAACGACATTTCTAACTAGTTAATAACTAGTTAGTAAGGCCACATATGTAAAAGTTCAAAAATCATTACAGAACATGAAATAAATTAAAGAGGTGGGAGTATTTATAATTTTTTTAGTAAGGGTGGACTGACCCACTTTAGGTTACCCGAACTCCTCCAAAGGGTGGTGTCACCTGTAACCTGTTTATAATTTTTTTAGTAAGGGTGGACTGACCCACTTTAKGTTACCYGAACTCCTCCGAAGGGTGGTGTCACCTGTAACCTGTAGTTGGACAGGTTAAGTATCCCAGGATACAGTTCAGCCGACCTTTCGGAAAAGTTCGGCTAGTGCCAAGATAGCTGAGACAGTGAATGAGACAAGCCCAGATCACATGACTAATCTCCACTTTAAAGGTCGGCTGACCTCCTTACAGTAACTTACCTTCTTACACATCTCTCATCTCTTTCCCCCCCCTTTACTTTTTTTTTTTTTTTCGAAAACTAGTTGTTACTTAGTTGATAACTACTTTGTGCTTCCTCTCTCTCTCTCATGTTTTTATCATCATATCCCTTCTTCCTGAAAGGTAKGTATTCGACTTTCTAAATACTCTCACCTTCATCTCACCTTTATCTTAATTCCGGCGACTTTCTAGTGCCTAACTAGTTCTGAACTAGTTGGCATATTTACTCCTATCATCCTGACATCCCTGAGCTAACTAGTTCAGAACTAGTTCGTGTTAAAGATGTCCGCTCTCTATAAGAAGACGGTAAGTGATTCAACTAGTCCATGACTGATTATCAACTAGTCGGCCTGCTAACCAGAATATAGGATGAGTACCAGCAGTACCTAGACCTAGGTCCAGAGAAGCTTGCCCTGCCCGCATATACCAACGATGTAAGTCATCCCTCTGACTAGTTACTAACTAGTCACTGACTAGTTAATAGGAAAATGGAAACATCATCCTGTATGCAGGAGAGGTATTCTGTCGCGCTCAAAACTGCCCGAAGGCAAAAGTATGTATACCTATCTCTGGACTAGTTGTTAACTGGTTGCTAACTAGTTCTGTTAGGAGGCATACTCATCTCTAAATAACCTCAAGAAGCACATTCAGAACACGCATGATGATCTCACGGTTAAGGCGTCTGGCGGTGGTCCCCCCAAGCTCAAGGCGCAGCAGGCGGCCATTGGTAAGTCCTTTTCAACTAGTCTATAACTAGTTACTAACTGGTTATAGACTGGTACAAGAAGTTGGTTGACGACTACCTCCACAAGGAGGATGAACCCGAGCTCCCTCCCCTCCCCAAGAAGAAGGATGGAACTGTAAGTACTCCCTATTAACTAGTCTTTGACTAGTCTGTAATTGGTTGCTAACTAGTTAGGTCAATATCACTGAGATGAAGAAACAGGTGCGGAGCTTTGGGGTGTCAGTCCCTTGTGATGAGTGCAAGGCCAAGAAAATGAACAAAAGTAAGTTTCACTATCCCTACTCAACCAGTTATGGACTAGTTACTAACTAGTTACTAGAATGCTGTTCAGAGGGAGCTCGTGCCTGGTGTGGCTGTTTCGACCTCTTCGCCAAGAAGCAGAGGAGGAGAGTGAGAGTGAAGAGAGCGAGCTTACTGAGGAGGAACATGAGGAAGATTAACTAGTCATGAACTAGTTCATGACCACTAGTTCATGACCAGTTGATGACTACTTAACAGGAACCTTTTTGTTTTTTAGGTGTTGTAAACTAGGCAAGCCTAGTTTACGGGCGTTAAGATGTGAGCTTTTTTTAAAAAGCTGGCTAGTTATTAACTAGTTGATAACTAGCCGAATTTACGAATTTACGAATTTACGAATGGAATTGTCTTTTTACTAGTTCTAGACCTAAAGTCATCTTTCTTAAAGCGATATATATATATATGTAAGGTGTAGATAATATATAATAAGAGTAACTAGTTCACAACTAGTTATGGCCTAGTTAATAAGTTATGAACTAGTTAATATATATTTACTATAAAATTATGAACTACTTCTTAACTAGTTTATATCTAAGGACTTGAGAATAATTATTATAAGTATATATAATCCATTAGACTAGTTCCTAACTAGTTAAGAACTAGTACCAGGGTGTTCCTCGCCTGAAATAGCAACCTCTTTTTGCCGGATCTGAACCTGGAGTAATCTTTCTCTAAGCTCAACACGATTTGCCTCCAGCTGAATCTGTCTTTCTTCAAGCTGAAGACGCCTTTCAAGCTGTTGAAGCTTCCGTTCTTCAACCTCTAACTGAGCCTGTTGTATCTGTAAATCCTGGACTTGTAAATTAGAAGTAGCTGTTCGCTGTAGTAGCCTAAGATAGAAAGATAACTAGTTAGTGACTAGTCTAGGACTAGTTAAGGAGGGACTTACGGTGATTGTGTACTTCTATAATATGTTAGTAAGTATTAGTAATAGTATCTCCATAAGACTCACCTTGGTGGACTTGATGATGGGATACCTAGGTAAGGAGTTGAAGATCTAAGAAAGGTTAATATAGACTAGTTGCTAACTAGTTGGTGACTAGTTACTAAACATACTCAGATGGAGACTCTGAATATAGCCTAGTATTAGAAGGGTTAGAAAGGGTACTTTTACAGTATAGAAAGTATAGATTTATATACCTTCTTGGGGTTGGTCGACGCGGTAATTGTGGAGTTGATGTTCTAGAGAAGTTAGAAAAGATATCAGCTAACTAGTTCAGAACTAGTCTTAACTAGATATACTTACCGTGATCTTGAGCGTGAGGTTGGTGTTCTGCTATAAGAGCTACCTCTTCTTCCTCTGCGAGAGGGTATTGCACCAGAGGAGTTTGACTCAAAGAGAATATTATCAGGGTCTCTAATATCCCCTTCATTCCGGCGCTTTAGCTTCCGACTGTCTAGGGGATGTTAGCAACTAGTCGCTAACTAGTTAAGGACTAGTTTATACTCTGCCGGGTGACATTGTTCCAGTATCGCGTTGCTATATCATCTGATCGATATGAATGATGGGTACCATAGGCCATTCGTGCCTGATACTGATCAATATCACGTTGATCAAGGATATAGGATCTAATATAGTTAGTTAAGTATAATAAACTAGTTAGTAACTAGTTATAAACTAGTCTATAACTTACCCCTTCACTGCCCCTAATAGCGACTCATGAACCCCCATAAAATAAGATTTATAGTGGCTCTGCTCAACAGCATTAGTAATGTTTCTAATCTGTTCAAAGAACTCAGGTGGCATTAATGAGCAGGCTTTATTTAAGCCAGCTGCAATAACATGATGGCGCTTATGCTCAGCCCAAGCTGCAATCTCTGGTGATTCATGCTCTGGAACTAGTTAGTAACTAGTTCTATATAACTAGTTTAGAACTAGTTCTCACCTTGAAGAAGTTCAATAAGCTGATAGTATTCAGCTTCTGTTTCACAATCAAGAAGGCTTCTCATCCTTGTAAAGGTAGTATAAGAAGGATCCCCTGGCTCATTCATATCTCCTGCTATTCCAAGAAGTTTTGAAATAGTTCGTAGAAAGTGCACACGACAGAGAATTAAAATATTCTTTAATTGCCATTGCCAGGGTCGGTGAGCATTATTAATAGAGGCAAGGTAACGCCCAAGACCTAGGATCTATTAGTAACTAGTTGGTAACTAGTCTAGGACTAGTTAGACCTACCTGACATCTGCTTACCACACATATCAACCATAATACCCTTAAACCCACTATTATGAAGATAGTGGAAGTTTACTGGCTTCTGGGTGATTTCACCTATTAAGCTAAAGACTTGTTCAAATAAAAGTTGATAGCTTTGGGCTGTTTCCTGGTTGATAAACACCCGCAAGAGTGTAAGAACTTACTAGTTAGTAACTGGTTGATGACTAGTTAGGAACTAGTCTACTTACTTTTTCCATGTTCAGGAAGAAAGGTTGCAAAGATCACCTCATTAAACTCTCCCTTAATCCTTTTATAGGACATATCGATTTCAAAGCTGTCAAGAGATCTTAGGATCTGAATCTGCTGATCAAATCCACAGATAATCATGGTACAATCATCCTGGGTGTAGACCCTCCGGATATAATTCTAGTGACTAGTTAATAACTAGTTTGTGACTAGTTCAGGACTAGTTGCCTACCTTGATCTCTGGCCTGCGATCCATTTCATATAGAATACCATTGATATTCCGACCACAAGGATAAAGAAGGGCTTTTTCCTTAGCAATAATAGCTGCAAATCGGTCCTGATTTACAAAGCTATTATGAATTTGAGAAAGGGTCTGGCCATTATACTGCCGACAGAACTGCAAAAGTGGAGGGCTCCGAAGAAAGGTACCTATAACTAGTTAGTAACTAGCTCCCATTTTTATACCTATTTTAACATAAACTAGTCCATAACTAGTAGATAACTAGTTAACTTACTTAAAGTAAGATCTGGATTCTGCATTTGCCTGATCAGATCCAGAATCTCATCCATAATAAGCTGTGGTGGCTTATTTGGTGGAGGTGGCGGATGAGTATGAATACCAGTTGAGAGAAAGATAGCATAAGGGCATGCCTCAAGGTCCTCTGGAATATAAATTCTGAACCTAACATTACAGGTCATTTTCTGCATCTTTCCAGCTCCCTGTGGATGGATAACCCCTAAGAAATATTAGTCTAGTAGACTAGTTATGGCCTAGTGGGTAACTAGTTTATAACTAGTAGTAACTTACCGCACTGTGGTCGACGGGTTGTGTTTTGTTCAATAACTCCACATAATCTAGGCTGCTGATTAGAGCCATTCGATCTAAGAAGCTCTCTCAGGCAATTTAGATTAATATTCACTGCCCTATTTGTAAGGCTCATATAGAAGTGACCTTGACGGGGATTTCCAGAATTTGAACAGACAAGATAAGGCATTTCAGCTCCGGTGATTGACTAGACTAGTTAGTAACTAGTTCCCAACTAGTCTGATTTATATTATATACTAACCTGAGTATCACTCAGTCTTAATACTGGCCGACATGTTGCTATTTGTTGAAGGCAGGCATCACCCAGATCAAATCGCCGTTTAATGCTATAGAACATCCTGCGACATAGTTAGTAACTAGTTATAGACTAGTTAGGAACTAATCCTTACCCATGTGCAGCACGCTCCTCAGGCGCTAATTCAGAATCAGCAATTCTAGAGCGTATCTCTGATATTTGCTCCAGAATAGATGGTGAAACCCAAGTATGATGAATATTCTTCAGTTCTGGTGATAAATATTCACATACTTTTACCCCTGTGCAATGATAAACATATTTTTTAACATTGCACTCTAGGAGTGGTGAAAAGGTTATTCGACGTGAGCCCTCCCGTTGATAAGCATATTGTATCTAGACTAGTTAGCAACTAGGTAAGAACTAGTTAGGAACTAGTACATACATCATGTAATGATTTCTCAAAGGTTTCCAAGTTCTGGCCATGACTTTTTATAATATAAGCATAGCCATTTTCATTAGATCTTGGATATTCTGGTAAATAATCACTGTACTCAACAAATTGAGCAGTATTTCCAGGCTTTTTCCCTCCATGTGTAATAGGGATAATTGGTATAGGCTATAAACTAGTTAGTAACTAGTCAAGAACTAGTCAGGCTTAATATCTTCATACCGCCTCGTCTAGATCACCACTTGCAGTATTGCGTTGATGTAAAATTGCTTCATCAACTTCATTTGATAATTCATTATACTCTGATTCAGGTGTGAGAGATGATAAATTAATAAGAGAATTAATTACTGTTTGATCATTCTCAAGATAATGAAAGTTATCTAAGGATGACATTGTGAACTAGTTGAGAACTAGTTAAGGCTGTAAGAAATAGTGAAAATTATTACAGAACATGAAATTAGATTTAGATGTAAAAGGTCGGATGAGCTTTTATATTTATGTTGTGTGGGTCCGCTGGCCCACTTTGGTTAGCCGAACTCCTTAGTAAAGGTCGGCTGACCTGTAGTCACACACCACCCTTCGGAGGAGTTTGGGTAACCTAAAGTGGGTCAGTCCACCCTTACTAAAAAATATTATAGATACTCCTACTCTTTACTTTATTTCATGCTCTGTAATGATTTTTGAACTTTTATATATGGCCTTAGTTCTGTAGTAAAAATCTTAAGTTAATCTACCATAGTATTGATTATCTGTTGCAGTCCCAAAATTTCACCCTGAGCGTGACTTTTAATCTTCTGACTTAGATTACCGTGGGCGACAGCAGTTATGACAACCACAATTTCTTATACCTAATCTATCAGGTTCTCGGCTATGATGTTGACATTCTCTGTGAGCTCCTTCCAGATACTGTGGGTACTAGTAATTTAAGCTTGACTGCTGAGTATACCCTCTTTTCCGACCTTGTGAGACAACTTAAGATACTTCGCTACTAAAAACTTGCAGTTGGTCCATCATGGTGTTGATTATATGTTTGAATGTAATAATTTCTGGGTCTATCTCCAAGGGGTGGATCTGGACCTTCATGGAGAGATCACCGTTGGCGACTTGCGTGATGATGCCGCTGATTTCTCGTAAGGCTTTTTGGAAGGCCTTGTTGGCCTGCTGGTGCTTCCGGAGCTCCTGTTTGAGCAGAACGACAACCTTATTTTCGGCCTGGGTGAGCGCACGGTGGGTGTGCTCCTCCTGCTTCTGCAACTCGTCGCGAACCTGTGCTATGATATACTACTGGAAGCTGATCTCCTTGGCATGCTTTTGCACATGATTGCGGAGGATGTTGATGTCTTCTTCGCGCACCACACACGTTGCGCCGGCCTCATCCTCCTCGTCGGTGTCGTCTTCGTCAAGGTCTGCAACCGGGGCGGATGGTTAGGGTGGATGAGGGAATTTCTCTTCAGGGCCCGACGGGGTCCGCTGTCGCCGATCGGGTCGATTCAGTTTTTGCTGATGTGTAAGGCAATAAGAAGAGTCAGAACCTTGACCGGACAACAAACGACCGAGCCCAAAGGTCCGCAAAAGATCAGGTTCCTTCTCGTTGGATCCGATAGCAGACGGAGTGGTCCGCTGGCGGTTGTCGGGGAGTTTATGATGACTGACAGCTTGGAATTCCAGGTGGTGCACGCGGCGCACCAAGGCCTCCAACTCGGCTTCGAAGGCGACCTTTGCTGGGCTGGGCTCCCCGGGAAGTTTGGATGATTTGGCACCGTTGGTCGCGGCAATTTCGAAATCAAAGGGGGGGGGGGAAGACAGAGCCCATGATGGGCTCGTCACTAGCGAGAGACTGCAGCATCGCCGTCGCTGCCACGAGAGTCTCGTCCGCACCAGCCATTGTGCCCTAGCACCTTGTTAGTCGATCATCCACGATCGTGATGATATGCAGAGCCCGAAACTTCGAGTCCCCGCGCCGTCTGTCCGGTCGTCCCGGCAAGATACGAATGAAGAGTGAAATGTCTCTCCTGATACCTCGAGGCGTTCGTGGGCCAGGATGGGAGCCATCTCCCAAGAAAAAAGGGTTCGGGACAGTCGAACGCCGAAGCGGAGTCAGGACAAGCACAACGTACTGGGACGGGTTCCTGACACGACAAATCCAGCAAGCCGGTTACAGCGACATGGGGTGATTCTACAGGAGTTCTTCGGGGACGGATGTGAGGGTATGATCCAGGTACGTCCCGACTGACTCGGGAAATCAGGGATGTCGAAAAGGAGACCCTGAAAGAGGGAGTTCAGGTATCCAAGGATGTTCAGGATGAAGGGGGAGGGGAGGACAGCCACCAGGTAAGGCAGTTATGTGAGCGTCGCGTTCTTTTGCGGGGGATAAAGGCCGAAAAATAAGATAAAGTACATATGGTAGTTATGGGAGGAAAGGCAGTTGGAGATTTTAAGGCTGCTCAGATTTTTGGTTATATATTTTGGGAGAGGAGGTGGAGGGACTCCCACAGCGCTGATATTCTGGTAATTGCCTTTCTCTGAGACCGCATCGAAAGCGTGATGAATTGGTTGACTGCCTACGACTGCCTTGATCTTTGTGCGTATCGCTAAGATATCTTTCCGGATGGATTGATTCAATGAAAGAGAAAATAGATGTTGAAGAAGGACACGGACCAGTGAGGTCGCCGCTTCATCCTCATTGCGAGACGGAACTGGCGGGGTGGCTGCTCAATGCTGATGGTGTCCCACTCCTTGTGACAAATCATCACTCATGCTCTTGACTCAACTCATGCAAAACAATCTAAATAAAGAAATCTTAGACGAGCGCGAACCATGTTTGACTGGCGTTCAGGAGCGTTGACCACAGCGAAAGTGTTTTTAGTGGTCCTCTTAACAATCCAGCTCCACTTACCGATGGTCTGGAGAAAAGATAGTGACCGCCCTGTACCAATCATCGGGCTAGGTATGAGACATACAGTGACGCCTCATACCTAAGTTTGGACACCCGTCGCCCCACACACCCCATTATTATAGCCCTGTTTACCGTACAAAACAGTTTAGGTACCTGAGTATTCAGGAGCACTTCGAACACCTGGGGAAACTGAAACCTCCTTCATCCTTGAACATTGTTCCTCGTTGAATCATTTGCATCGTTCAACTTCCTAGTTGGACGTGTGAATTATATTATATCTACTGTTTCCGTATCTCCACGAAAGCGACATGATGGGAGTGTCTAGGGGAGGAGCCTATCTCCCTATCGAGCTTTACCTGCTTTTCGCTGAATATCTTACGCCTGTTGACCTGCTGTCTCTCTTATGTGCGGCTCCTGGGCTCGCACGGGTCCTAACTTTTCAGCATACCACGCTTCAGGACGAAGGAGGGAGGACGATCCTACATCTACTCGCGAAGGAGGGGGAGGGCGAATTGATGAAGCTACTGCTCGCAAACGACGGTATCAGGCCAGACCCGAAGGATAATTGTGGTCGGACACCGTTATCCTATGCGGCTGAAGGATATGAAGCAGTCGTCAGGCTACTGCTGGACAGACAAGATGTCGAGGCGGACTCGAAGGATAACGATGGGTTGACTCCGTTAGCCTATGCGGCTCGTGGTGGACACGAAGCAGTGGTCAGGATATTGCTGGACCGACAAGATGTCGAGGCGGAC